TGAGATTGGCTGATGCTCGAGCTGTGCCTTGGTACGCGGAAAACAAGTGCCTCTCTCAGCCTCCTAGTGGGGGTGGTGGTAAAAACTTTATTATAAAGAGAGCGTATGAGCCACCGAAAGGGCCTTACAGACTAGGAAACATCCTCAGTCCGGGACGTCATTGGACTATACCAACATATTTGCATTGCGCAAGACTACGCGTAGTTACGACGTAACTACAGAAGTGGCTGTGTACAGCGCTCTTTCTGTCCTTGTCTCTTCTTCTGTAGTTACGTCGCAACTGCCTGTAGTCTTGCGCCGTGCAAATATGTTGATTCCCAATCACCAACTAGCCCAAGCATCTGCCTTATCATGGACCATACCGCTGCCCTTGCTCGGGCAATCATGGACTGTTGGGCTCCAAGGTCAGAGCAGCTAAGCAGCGTGGCCTCCCAGTCCTCTCGCGTAGAGTTTGAGAGGGGAGAAATGGCTCTGTTTAGCTGACAGGCCCACGGCATATGGTAGACATCTGCTGTCTGCCCACAGTGATTGCACCTGCCGCTGACTGCGGAGTCAAAATATTGTAATATCGTTGGGCATAGCAACGTGTTTGTTTGTAGATGGCGCAAAGTTATTTCTCACGCCGTATCCAGACCCTGGGCAGGGAGGGGGTGGATACCGCGGCGATGCTGGGAGCGATATTATTGCACTATTTTCTTGTACGTGAGCAGTGGTAGTTGCGGGGTTCAGTTCATAGGAGTCGAACGAGGTACCCGGGGAATGAGGGCTCGGGCAGCCGTGTCTGCGGCCTCGCTCCCTCGAAGCCCTTGATGACCTGGGGTACATACCACGCGTTTTGGGATGGGTTCGGTGAACCTCGTGCTTGCGCGCAGAGTTTCGTAGGCGAGGCGTGAAATTTCTCCTGCCAAGTATCGGCCGCAAGCTTCTCGGGAATCGGTAATAGTTACATTAAAAGCGCGGTGCGAAAGACCTAATGCCATAGCGACCTCCTCCACCTGTGTTGAGTTGAGAGACTTAAAGGAAAGCCCATCCACCTTCGTTTTCTTGTGGAATACTGCTGCCGTACAGTATCCCCTCAGTCAGGTGCGGTGACGTCCACGTAGTAAACTCCTGTTTCTGGCCTTCTGGATAGTCGAACGAGTGCCTCTTTCAGCCTCCTGGATAGTTGGTGCGGCATGGACGAAGCAGTGCGGCGGTCGCGTTGAAGACACTTGTACTCAGTTTCCTTGGCTCACGTCTCGTCGGTGTTACCCACGTGCCGTCTGCATTCTCGAACGCGATCGGACGCATGGACGCATGCACGGATGAACGCTTCACCCAACTCATCATCATTCACTCCGTGGATAAGCTGTGATTTTAATGCGATAGCGTTAGAGAGCTCGTGTCGCAGAAAACCCGCCGCCGGCCGCGTTGGTTGTGAGCGGAAAATCGTCTGTGCATATCTGTGACCTGAAAAATCAAATCACCGAGATAGCCGTGGGAGGCCGCTACTTGTCCCCGCGTGCGCACTATCACACTGAAAAAGTCGCGCGTTCGAAGAAAAAAGAAGTGCTCAAGGTCACGAGGCAGCGGTAGTTTCTTTGCCCTGCCACCCCTCCCTGCTTAGCTTCCAGCGCTTTCGTCTGGACGAGAGCAAAGATAATGTAATTGCAGCATGTGACAAACCTTTGTAACTCCACTCGCACTGGACGGATTCTTAAATTTTTTTCGCCGTTGAATTGGTGAGGCAATAAGCTCTTCTGGTGAATTCATTCCATGGTTACTTGAAAAAGTGTTTCAGGACCCATTTAACGCATTTTGTTCGACAGGCGTCACGATGAAAACGAGCCCATTCGTCGATAATAGCACGAGCTGGTCCAATCTAGTGTGTGCGTGCTTTGTGTGCGTGCGTGTATATGTAATAAAACATATTAATAAGTATGCACTTAACGCTTGAAGGGTGCACTAGGGGCCGGATTTCGCTATTGCGCTCAACTCTTAAAGGCGAAACTTAAGGGTCCCCCAATTTTTTTCTTTGATTCTCCTTGAATTTCGTTATTATGTCGTACCAAACTGCCAGGTGCTTTCGCCCACTTCTTTTGACCTGCATGATGGAATTGTATTTTCACTCCCATATCCCAAACCTGCACACTATCCTTTCAGCTTGTCGTCTTGATGACCGTGTCATCTTTAAGAGTATTAAACTGGTTGTTTACTCACGAACTCATAATTTTCCTTCGCTTGTTCGTCTCGACTTTGTAGTCCTTGTTTAACGCCTTTGTCACGGTGGACTCGGAGTTATCATGCGCTCCTTTTAAATAATTGCGGCGAACATCTTGCACGGATGTCGCTGTACATTTTGAACACCCCTATAACGCTACCCAGTTTCAGTCATGGAGAAGTAGCTCCAGCTCCCACTAAGTTTTTTTTTTGCTATAAAGTATCCCGCCTACAACTGAACAGAGCGGACAAGCAACTCTAGTAGAAGACCAACGGGAGGCGTTGCTGAAGCCGGTAAACCCTGAGGACCAGTGCCCTTCGGTACGTGGCACCGATACAGCATCGTCCAGAAAGTGGGACTCCGCTCTCCGGAGTCCAGACATAACATCGCAACTTTGGGCTGTCCAGAGGGCCCACGATGCGGCGCTAGGGCTCGGCCTTACTGTCCCATCGTGGGAGCGGCCCGCCGTGTGCTAGGGCGCACGCCTTCGGACTTGTCAATAAAGTTTTTCCAAACCAAACCAAGCTCCAGCTGATGGAAAAGGCTCGGGCGTCGGCGGCTAGCCGCCGACGCCCGAGTCGCCGACCTCCGGGCGAGGAGAACATGCGCCTGGCCGCAAAATAAAGTTTAGTTCTCTCTCTCTCTCTGATGAGGTAGACATGTCTGTTTCGTTTTGATGTGACGTGTTCGCTCTCTTCGAGGCACGCATCTTTTCATCAAAAGTGAACACAAAAGTCTTACAAAAGCGAACACCTGCTGAGGAAGACCGAGAGCAAGTCATATCACTCCTGGAAAAAAAGAGATGACCCCGTTTCATAGTACCATTTCTTTATTGATCTCAGCAGCCGAGTCACTGCAAAAAGCAGAAAGCTTTGACCAGTCTTACAATCATGCTTAGCAGCTGAGCCAAGGCTAGATACAAACATATCAACACTCACTTTAAAATCCTTGGTCTTCTTATGGGTGTCGAAGGCGGGATAATTTGCTCTACAATACCCGAAGCTGCTACATATCACACGAGAAGTTAAGAGAATCGCGAGGCAGGCAAGCACTCACTCTGAAAACTGTACGAAAAGCATTTTTTTTTCGTTTGAAAAAAAAAGTAGATTAGCTGGCGGCGCGGGCAGCAACACCTGATCCATTCGCCTTATCTGAGCGAAGATACAATGAAGACAGGTAACTCCTCGTTCCCGGATGCGTCTCAGTGGACGAGTAGTGGAGAGTCGTGAGACACGATGACGATGACCCTCTGAGGTGTCTTTATTAGGTAGGGTTATAAGCGAGTCGTGTACGTAGCTCAACATGGTAAACAATAAATATAGTTTAGTTTTGCTTAGAGTGTGTCCTGAATCCCCTCAACAATGAGTTGGAATTAAAAATACATCACATATAAAATGAGTACCAGTGGTAGTCGTAGTACTGGTAATTGGTAACGACGAAAGGCTGAGGATGTGACCATTACACAGAATAGGCATTCGCCGGTTTCGGGGGAGGGGGGGGGTGAAGGTTCATCGCAGCAGCGACCCCCACCCAACCAAGTCAATGTATGGGCAGGTTTTGCAATAGCCCCCTCTTAAGCACCTAGGGTACCCTTTCTGCTCGCCTCCCCTCCATGCACACGTCTATGTTACACAGAACGAGTGAACCGAGAAACGTAACAGGTGAAGCCGTACATCGAAGAAATATAGTACTAGAAAAAAAAAGCAGCTTTGTGGCGCAGATAGCTAGAAAAATGTGATAGAGGCAAGCCATCATATATCAAATTCGTTTTTGAGTTACGAGAACCTAATTGTCCCGCTTCTGTCATACGTTGTGGCTGCATTCGTGTCAATTTCCCGCAGAAAGAGCACGACCTTCGCAATCAAAGCTTTACCTCCATTATCAAGGAACGACTGCTTATACTTTCCATTAGTTGGTGCAAAGTTCTTTGAACATCACAGAAATTGATATTTCGAAATCCCACTTACGCAAAACGGCAATACGGCAATACTTAGTAATTTTCCACTTTTTTTTTTCTTTTTACCCGTTTACGCTGCCGCCAACTCACTGTTGAGACCAACCCATTAAAATCTGCACTCACACCCATCACTCCGAAGCATTTACTTTGTTAATCTTCATCGGTGTCTCAATGAAGTGTCAAGAAGCGATATGCACAGACAAAGCTCAAGGAACGCCGTTTAGTTAAGACCTTGCTGGATACTAACGTGTTCTCGATTGAGCTTTATTATATTCCTGGGAGCAAAAAGCAAACAAAAATCTTGCTTTGTACATTGCCAGCCGTTACAAGCTCAATGGTCTCTCTTGCAGCATGACTGCCGAGAACATAAGAACTTGGACCTACCTCCCGCGTAAGGGAACCATGCGTAGATGCGAAGCAGCGGGCGCTAACGCTTACACTGGCGGCGACGTTAATGCTGGCACTCATCAAGCGATAGCCTACTAAAGATGCCCGTGACTGAACTCCCGAACGCGCGATTCAGTGCCTAGATATACTGGGTGTCCATGAACAGTTGTGCAGAGCGAGCAGTCGGTTTTTCCCTAGCAGACGCTGCCTGCGTCAGCCTTGCGAGGCGAGAAAGGAGGAGGCGAGCGACAGTTTGGCGGGTGTAATTCTGGGCCGGCACCAGACGCGAACATGCACGTCTCAGCACGGGACGCGAGCATGCGTCGCGAGACGCCGGCATGCGCAGGAGGTGTGTACGGAGGGACAGCGTTACACAGGCTAGTCAAAGTGCTGCTTCGCATCTAAAAAAATAGAAGGACGAATGAGCGTGGAATTTGAGGTTGGTCTATATGTCTATTAGTCTATACGGAATGGAGCTTTTATTTGGCAAAGCCTTCTAATCACAATTTCTATGGAATGAAGTTTTTAGCTCGCACAACTTTGTCGTCGTGAACAAGCTTTGTACAATCGGAACAGAAGTCATTCCTTAGGAATGGTCAAGTATCCTTGCGTGGCACATCTGTTTAGCAATGCAGGACACAATATCCGTGTTTGGCATTGACACCGAACCTGTGATATACAGCACGATCTTTCATATTCATAACTCCAGTTATAGATAGCAGCAGTGTCATTTTTATCTACGTGTTATCAGTCGGTGCGCTGAGCGTGACCGTCGTGCGCTGCAAACGACGTTTGACAAACACCGATAAACACGCACTTATCTAATCAGAAAGTGCCGCAACACACTGAATGATGCACCTTAGCAAGAGCTCAAAGCGAGAAATGACTTTAATTAAAGGTTGATATCTATTCTACTGCGACTGTTACGACAACATCGAGTTATAAACAATCTTCAGGTCGCTTCAAGGCGCGCTGTAATAGCGTGGTGATATCGGAAGTGGTAATGGTCTGATAACCTACACTTTCCTGCCAGTTTTTTTTATTTTTTGTTACCAATCACAAAACGCCAGTAGATCCCCGTGATAAGAGCACTGATAATCTACAACAAACGTGTTGAAGAAACAGAAAATGGCAACGCGGTTCTGTGCATTTCCGGCAGTTTTGGCTAGTTCTTGATCCGGATTGAAAGAATGAGAGGAGTTTTAAACTTTCGAAATTTCAGTAGTTCTAATACATAGACTCCAAAAAGACAATTGATAGAGTTGTAGCAATGCACATAATACTGTGACACGTCCAGTATTCTCGCGCTTCACAATGCAGACGAGCGTTTATAGAGAACCTCGCAACACTTATACAGAAATTCGAACAACATGGATGTACACAACAAGCACTTTTTTCAAGAGGGTGGTGACGTTTTGTGATTTGCATCAAATGCCCTTTTTTCGGCGCCATGCTAACCTATAACATTTGCCAAAAACATGGAGCAGTTCAGTGCTCAATTGAATTGGGCTGCATGCCAGGTGGCGCCACCAACCCTCTGCTCGAAATTAAATAATCTGTGAAACATGAAAAGTGCAGTTCTGAGCCACCTTCAAATAGTAAACCAGGCATTAAAAATTTGACAAACATCGCAAAGGCTGCTTACTTGATTTGAAGCTGGTTTGTGTAGGAAGATGAAGCATGTGTAGATACGTATGTCAACATATTACTATATCCGCATTACCTTTATCGCCCACCACTTGTAACGAATGGAATGTAGTCTGCTCTGCAAATGTGAGGACGACTGTGATTACAGATCAGTGACGTCTGGAATGTGTCATCTAACACTTACGTAGACACTTATTTGGACCATAATATTTGTCAGAACGTTTATGTTCTCCATGCGTCCAGAAGAAAAAGTAATTCACTGAGAGCAATCGTATAGCTAAACTACAAAGATTTACAACTCAGTTCCATGCTTATGTAACGTAGCCACGCTATTCCCTATTCTTCGTCAACCACCTTCTTCGCATCGTCTTAGCGATAGCGCTGTGGTACCAGCATTTGCGGAATGGCTAAATTACATCTTCATATATGACAAAATGTGGATACCACAATGCCCAAGCATGCTTGCCGGCTTCTAGTGCACAATGTGACAGCTGAGGCTCCTTAGGCGCAGCGTCGCTTCAAAGAAGTTCGGAAGGAGAAAGCACTAGCGAAGCAAAAGCATAATCCAGAGAAGGAACGTTATCACATAAACCTCACGCTGTCATACGGGTTGGCACCCCTACCCTCTCATCACTGTTGACGCACTTCTACTCAGCTACAATGCTACGAAAGTTGGCAAAGATATGGCAGGGCACAATTGAGCGGCACCACCCAAACCACGGGTGACGCTTTTTTTTTTTACACTTTGCTGTAGTTGGACTAGGTTTCACTGGAAGCCATTGGCGATGAACTCAAGGAAGCAAGTGTCTCTAGTGTGGTCATGTTTTCTGCATGCCGTACCAATGACTTCAGGCAACCCGTAAATACACGTTTCGTTGGCATCTAAGACTATTTCTTATAGTCCTAAAGTGAGTGCACTTGAATAGTTTTTGAGGGCTCCCACTGCTTGCATTGGTGATGCGCTACCATCAGTTTTCATAAGCATCCGAAATTTTGAGGCTCATTAATGTCCACATAGTCCTCTTGTTGAGGGCTTGACCCTTGCCTGAAGCACTTCTTGTTCTACCCTGCCTAAGCGCTTCAAGACCTATACTTCGTTTGAGAATTTCGCTTCTGTTCTGACCATCAGTTATGCCGGTCATAGCTTGTACTGTTCAATACATCCGAATTCGCTTTCACTTTCTTAGAGCACCTAAGTGCTCCACGCTGCCGGCATGAAGTTTCGTAGGGTTCTCCCCGACAATCCCACTGTAATGCCTAAGGACTGATTATACTTGAGCACGCATGAACACAGATCACTAAGTGCGTAATTTGCACCTTTTCTTTTCATCTATATACAAGAGTATCTACACCATCTTTAAAAAAACAAAGGTCACTGCAGGTACACTGTATTTACATAGGCGCTTGCAGTGTACGGGCTGTGTCTTTAGCATCAGCTTCTATTATCACCAGCATTTACCTCAAAGTGACGGTAGCACTGTCCGTGTATGTACTATCAACAGCAAATGTTTTCGAGACATTGGATTCAGAACAAATGCGAATTTCGGCTATATCAGCGCTTAATGCTTGCAATCAAGCTGGTGACTGTATGGGTCGGAGTGCCAAGTGCAGTGTGGAACATTTATTAAAAAAAAAAACATTCCCAAACAAAGTGGCAATTCAGCTTTAGCGAACATTGCGCGTCCCGAAAAATTTTGCTGTTGGAAGTACAGAGGGGAGGGGGGTCAAAAGTTCATAGGCCACGCTACCATAGGAATACAGAGAATAGTGGCCTGGAAACTTTTGACCAGCCCTGTATGCATTACATAACGATATAATTTAAACAGTTCATCATCTGTGCTATGTGTTTGGGCCAAATCGTTTTTTTCACACAACTGTGCTATAAGAATATTGTATAACCAACTGGCGCGTATTTTAGTTCTTGGTAGGTCTGCAATATCCTAAAAAAAATTAGAAACAAGAAGACTTTTTTTAACAAAAAAGGTGTTGAGGCAGACATATGTAGCGATAAATATATCTACATTTGGCATGTCTGTTTTTTCTTTTCGCAGCCTGGGCTAGCTTTTTTTACAGCATATTCCTGTCCTTGGGCATATTTGTCCAGAAAATAGATTTTTCCTGAGAGGATATAATCGTCGACGTCTTTTAAGCTTTAAAATCGAGATGTGTAGAAACAAAAGCAAGAATTTACGTTGAAACTAAATTAAAAATACACAGGAACGACGTGTAAAGCAGGCATCGACCTTGTCACCGCGACTCTCGCCATTCTCGCAATTGATGTGATTCAACGGAGTGTCATATGAAAGGACGCGGTTTTACCGAAATAGCGCATCATTCGCACGGGCATATTTCATCCAGCACGACTGTGGACACTATCACACACTTTGAACGAAATGAGGCTTGGCCCTTTCTCGGTTATAAACCGCACACAAAAGTCCTACGTCAACTAGCACCCTTTCACCGCTTCCTTCAAAACTGCGCGCGAAGCACGTAACGATACATCGCAATAAATATGCCGCATGCTCAGGCAACATCCGCCATCCACTATAGACTGCTCTCCATGGGAGGTGGTCGGGCACCTGTGCCTAGTCGTCTGCGGTATTGTCAAGCACTTTGTCCTGGCAGGACTGGAAGTGACCACTAGCTTGGAGGCGTTGAAGAGGGTCGCCCCACCCCCCGAGTCACTAGCTCATTTTGTCCTCCTCGTCAGAATCACTACTGTCCGACACCGTCACCGTCGAGTGAGGCGGCGTCTGCGGAGGTGGTGAACCCATGTGGCAACAGGAAGGGTTGAAGCCGTACGCGTCGAACAGTGACTCATCTTCGCCGCATGTTTCTTCCTCGGGACGCTGAAACCTCTCCTTTAAGAAGCACGTCGGGGGAGGAGGCGGGAAGGACTCGCCCGAATTGTACATGCTGTCCCCGGAGTCCTCATCTTCCACTGCTCTGCTACGTTTGTCCCTGACAAAAAATGGTTCACCACCACACCGGTCCTCGTGACAAGTCCAGGAGGGACCCTTTTCGCGGGGGAGAGCCGTTGCTGGTCGCGAAGAGGTCGAAGGTCACACGCTTTGCCGGTTCCCGAGTCGGGAAGAAGCGTTCCCGATCCTGGTTGCCCCCCAGGGCATCTTTCTCGGAAATGCAGAGGCCGGAAGAGGGAGGCAGAGGTCGCTTTTGCATTGTGTCCTCAACGACGTGCGGCTGACGCTCGAAGCTGTCTTGTGCCGGCGGCTCTCTTAACGTCTGTCGGAAAAGAATAAGATGAAATAAGAATGAGCGAAAAATAATTATTAGGCGTGATGAGCTGGCAGCAGTTAGTTCGTCCTTGTGAATACTCTGGAACACAGTACTGGCAAGAAAGGACACGAACATACTAGAGGATTCACACAATGCTAGTTGTGCGACTTGAATTGTGTGTCTCTTGCTAGCGTGTTAATATCCCCATTCACCTGTGCACTGTTCCACAGTATTTACAAAGCGTGTAGGCCATAATAGCACAATATTGTCAGCTGAATGTGGCTGTGAAACAAAAGTTAAGCCAATACGGATGCTAGAACAATCTTTAACGATGTCCAGATAAATACAGAACTTATGTACTAACTTTCCCTTATTGAGCTCCTGTTGAGGACGTGTCCATAATATCGCTCTACTAGTAGCACAAGCTGACTTTTTTGATTGCATGCATTGCCATTGAAACAATTAAACACATGTCAATTAAGCTAAGCAAACAATGCTTCAACCCTATTCAGTTTACACACTAGTAACCTAAACAATGAAGACAGGTTCAGGGCAAGATGTTAGCTTGAACGAGAAACACGTCTGTGAGTGTGGGTTAGTTGTGCACCAATGTACTTAGGGGGGTAAAAAGCATATCACTGCATGTTAGAGGAGTAGACAAGCATATTCAAATGGTGTATGAGTGCATAGTAGGGGAGGAACAAGCACATCACTGCATAATAGAGGAGTATATGAGTGAGTGCCAATGGTGTACCAATGCATGTTGGGGAAGGAACAAGTGTATTAGAGGAGTATATGAATGAATGTCAGCGGCATATTAGTGCATGTTTAGGGAAGTAACCACTGTATCATTGCATATTAGAGGAGTATACGAGTGATTGTCAGTAGTGTATCGCTGCACGTTAGGGGAGTAATCAGTGGATAACTGCATATTAAAGGATTATGTGAGTAAATATCAGTTGTTTAACCCTGCATGTTAGGGCAATAACAAGTGCATTATAGGAGTATATGAATGATTGTCAGCAGTGTATCAGTGCATGTTGGGTGAGTAAAAAGTGTATCTCTACGAGTAAGAGAAGTGGATGATTGGATGTGAGCGATTTATTAGGAAATTTTGTGGGAGTAACAAGTACATCACCGTATTTTATAGGAGTAGATGAGTGGATGTCAGCGGTGTATAAGTGCATGTTTGGGGAGAAACAAGTACATCACTGGGTGTAAAAGGAGTAGACTGAGTGGATGTCAGTGGTGTATCAGTGCATGTTATGGGAGTAACAAGTGTATCACTGGTTGTGAGAGGAAATTATGAGTGAATGTCAGTGGTGTATGAATGCATCTTAGGGGGGTAACTAGTGTATCAATGCACATTATAGGAGTATATGAGCAAACGTTAGTGGCGTATCAGTGTATTTGAGAAGTCACAGGCATATCACTGTGTGTTGGAGGAGTAGATGAATGAATATCAGAGGTGTATCACAGTGTGTTAGGGGAGTAACAAGTGTATCACTGCATGTTAGAGGAGTAGATGATTGGATGTAAGTGGTGTATGAGTCGATGTTAAGGGAGTAACAAGTGCATCACAGTGTGTTAAAAAAAATATGAGTGAATGTCAGTGGTGTCTTTCTGCATGTTAGAGGAGTAACAAGTGTATCACTGCGTGGTACAGAGCTATATGAGTGGATGTCACCAGTGTATCAGTGCATGTTAGGGGATTAATGAGTGTATCATGGCATGTTTGAGGTGTATCAGTGTAGTGGAGCATGTGCACTTTAACGACACCATCTATACTGACGTGTATACCTCGAACTCCATGTGTACGCTGGCCGTACTGTTAGTTGGACTCGCTGCAACCGGAGGTGCGAGACGCACGTCGGAGAACCAGGTGGGCCAGGCTTCAACGGTAGCTGTCGTCACCACCCGCTGCTGGACGCTCGCGTCCGTTTCTTTTGGCGGTGGCGCCGATTCCTCTGCGTAGCGTGTTTCCATCGCCATCACTGTGCTGTCCGCTCTCTTCTGAGCGATCGGGGACCAGGCCTCCATCGTCAACGCGGCACCATCACTGCCGCGCTGGCTTCCTGGGGAACGATTGGTGCAGTATATGCCATTATTTTCGATTCAATTATTTAATCCTGAAAGTGATTGTGAACACACATAAACAGAGAACTCTAATCATCGAAAGAAAAAAAAATATGACGAAGCATGGAAAAGTAATTGAATTACCTAGCTAGAAATAAGAATAAAAACCAGCAAAAAACTTTAACGGGTCCTGGCGTTTCCTGTGCCTAACCCACAGCAGGATTATGAGGCGTGTCATAGCGGAAAGCTCCGAAAATTTTCACCTTTTGGTGTCTTTTAATTTACGTGCACTGATATCGCACAGAACGTGAGTCTTCAGCAATTCGCCTTCACCTGCAATACCACCGCTGCAGCCGGGATTTGTCTTGCGACCTTCGGTTCATCAACCGATCCACGCAACTGCTAGACCATTGCGGCGGACAAAATCTAGTAAAACAGTTCACGTCGAGAGCTAAAAATGTTAACGTCTTCACGCATGGCGTGTTCAGCACCCAATAACGGCTTGTAGCATTATTGGTACGCGACGACTTCACGTAAAGAAGTCAAAGATTGCGCATGCTTAGACGTGATAAAATTATGGCACTGTTAAAAGCAACCATAAAGATGAAACGTTATTTCAGATAAACTTATACAAAATTATGATAGCTGTGCCTCTGTGGCGTCAGTTATTCATGCATAGGCGGTTACAGCCTATTAACGCATGCTGCCAACGCCCACAACAATAACTATAACATCTGAAGAGTGTTACATATTTGAATCAAACACATTTACTGATTTCCATGATGTGAAACAACTTTTTAGTGTCAGGGATTGTAGCTGTTCCCGAACAGAAACATTTTCACGTCAATGATGATAAGCCGGAGACTGGAGCGTCCTTTGTGAATTTCTTCAGAATTATGTAATAATCCCTCAGTGAGACGTCATATTTGGGTGCAAACAAGAAACCTCTAGTTCTCGATATGTGTGGTATTTAAATTCACATAGAGAAAGTGATTATGCTTCGAAAAAAAAAATGGGTTTGACGACTCTTTTACAGAAGTTACCGACAAGAGCACAGTATTTCAGAGCTTGCAGCTATTAACGTTCAATGTCTCATACTCGCGTTCGTCTGTCCGTGCCCTGGAACGGTGCCAGTTGTGGCTTCTCCCCCTCAGGTTTTCTCAGCAATCTAGTGATAGCATGAAGTCGCATAGCAACAGTTGCGTAGTCACAGCTGTCGCCTCTCTTCTTTACACTTTCTCATTATTCAAGTGACTGCTGAGGGAAACAACGACAAAAAAAAAAAACAGAGATCGCACAGTCAGTCTAATGGCCACAAGCTTTCACTGAACACACTTTAGAATTTACAAGGTGTCCTACAAATTTTTTTCTATATTGTAACAAACTATAGTTTTTTATTAAACTATTCTATACCTATTGCTTTACCTTCACTCAATGCAAGTTTTAAATGTGTACATAGTGTATTCTTCAATTGTAAATTATTATTATTTCTCTACGGCTTCCCTGTATAATGTGACCCGTCTTTTGTCATTCTTACCACGATTCCTTGCTCTGTAACAGTGAGCATAGTTTTGTGGGTTGTATATGAGTAATGCCTGTTTATAGTTTTAACCCTTGGCATGTGGCAAAATCATACTTGTGGTAAAAAAATAATTTTATGCTTACAACAGAGTCTAGTAATTCATCAATACATTGACAGTTCTATGTGGAATGATAACCTTGTTATCATACATGTACCCGAAAATACATTGCTAAAATTCTTATAAAGATCTTTATTTATTGAAATACTCACCAAGTTCAGAGACACTGTGGACAAGAGCCGTGCGTAGGTTAGGTGGTGAAGATTGTGCATGCAAAGTCCCAGGACTCAGAATCTTCAGTCCAGCTCCAGTCCTGTACTCTGGTCTGGGCGTACTTTCTAGGTTTTATATTCATTATTTTAATTATAATATTAACAGTATAATAAGCAATTTTAGACGGTAAAGTATGCACTAGGATGTAAAAACGGCTATCCTTTTGGTTTGTTGTTAAGACGCGTTGCGCTCGTGCACTTAGCTGAAAATTGCTGAACATTTGATGAAAATTAAGTGCTCCTTTGGGAAAGGCTTGTATCCCTCCTCCTCACCAAGCAGAATGACATCACGATCAAACATAACGCAAGCATCAGAAACCAACCTCCGAAAGTATGGCGTGACTTACCTCCTCTTAAGTTGCGAGGCGTGAAGGGAATGCGCAGAACGTGAGTACACTGTAATGTAAGCTTAAATTTTTGGAAAATCGAGGAGAGCGATCTTACTTACTGAACCAATATAATGTAATATATGTATTCAGTGCAACTATTTAAGCTGCGCCTAGTAAAAGTTGTGCTTCGAGTCCTGGGATTATTCAAACTTACGGAGGAAAGGTTCCACTGTCCTACTGCGGCCATGACTTCCTGAAATTTATTTTTGTTCATATCTAAGCCACTACTAAATGCTTTTTCGAAGGTATTTCTTGCTGCGGTGTTTCCTTTTATACGATGCTTCCACATTCTGATGCAGGACTGAAATTTTGAATGCCATCGTGTCAGCGGTCCCTGTAGAATACTAGACCATAGCGCACACCTGCTAATTGCGAACACATCCTGAGCTCTGGCATTGTTTTTTGCCATCCTTGCAAAGGTCCAACTGATATAAATCTATGTTGAAATATGAACACATGTAGCAAAACCTCAATGTAACAAACGTGAATACAACAAAAATCGGGTATAAAAAAAGCAAGAATTCGACCTCTGCCCTTCCGTCTAATGAAAACATTGTTATTGACGCCTAGGAAAACAAGATATTTCGATCTGACGTGATGCTCTGTGCTTACAACATTGGCCTCAACAAGCAATAACAACTGATGTGTAAATAAAATACATGCCTATAACAAATATTGCATACAAGGGAACATAAATTGTGTATCGTGCGGTTTTATTGTAAACTAGTTCAGCTCACGCAAATCTATCACAGCACTGCCAGGCATGGCGGCCAGTCAACCAAAAACACTGCGTCCTCTTCTTGGGCCCCCTTGGTAATCACTGTGTTTGCCCGTCGCTTTGATGATGACGTCTCTGATGTCCTTGAGTTCGTGTACTGCCTTTACTACGTGCTGCCCAGCTTACCTTTAGACGAGATGCTGGAAATCTCGGAGAAGGTCTCGGGAGAGGCCAGTGGCGCCCATGTCATCCAGTTTGGCTTTAGACTGTCGATTGCCGATGTCGGAGGTTCGGTGGGCGACGACGCCGTGCCGGGGGACTCGACTTGTCTTTCCGGTGAGGCGTCGAATGAGCACGGCACCATGCGCAACGCCCGAACCTGCGTAGCGTCAGTCAACACGAACTCATTGTTGTGATATAATAATAGTATTTGGGGTTAGACGTTCCCAAAACCATTGATACGATTATGAGAGATGCCGTAGCAAAAGGCCTCGAGGGCTGCGAAAATTTTGACCATATGGCGTTCTTTAATGTTCATTGACAATGCACAGTAGTTGGGCCTTCAACATTTCACCTTCATTGAAATGCGACCACCGCGGTGGGGATCGAACCTATGACCATCAGGTAAGCAGCCAAGCACAATAACTACTGTTCCACCGCGACTGGACAACTCATTGTTGTGGTCGTAGGCATGCGCACGGGGGTAGGGCAGGGAGCATTGTTTAAGGAGATGGCCACACCACTTAATAGTGTAAGAGAGTGCTAAGTTTGTGTTGTGTATTTAATCGGCCGGGCGTGTCTTATCCTTGTTCAAAGTACGGGGTAAGAACAGCACAGTACTTTGACAATAATAGTGGCCAGGGGACTCCCTGTGTGAGATTCTATGAATTGATGATTGTGACGGTGCATTTTTCATGGCCCAGTGGGCATCACCATCATCACGAGCGTGTCTAAACCCACTGCAGGTCAAAGATCCCTCCCAGTTTCCACCAATCAACCCGGTACTGCCCTTGCTCCTGTCCCGTTGTACCCGCAAACATCTTAATTTGATCTGCTCACCAAACTTTCTGCCCCCGCCCCCCACCCCACACGCGCATTTGCCTTCTCTTTCAATCCAGTCGGTTATCCTTAATGACCAGTGGTCATCCTACATACGCACTACGTGGCATGTCCATGTCCATTTTTCCTTGATTTTAACTATGATGTCCTTAGCACCAGACTGTTCCCTGACCAACTGTGCTTTCTTTCTGTCTTTCAAGGTTACACCTGTTGTTTTCCTTTCCATTGCTCGCTGCGTTGTTCTCAATTTATGTTGAATCCTCTTTATAAATCTACGCGCTTCTGCTCCGCCGATAAGTACCGATCAGATGCAGCTGTTTTATGCCTTCCTCTAGAGCGATAATAATAAACTACGATTTGGCTGCAAGCGCAAATTTTTTCCAAAGAGTGCCAACTAGTGCTGGTCGACTAAAAGGTGCTGCTCGAGGTGAGAAATAACCAGCCACAGAAGTGTGTAATTCCCTCCTTTACCTCCGAAAAGGCGGGAACCAACGACAACCCTTTTCGAGAAGCACATCGTCGTTTCTTTTTAATTTTTGTATCGATTGGCAAGCATGTTGGACTTTTGAACTCAAAACTAATTCCCACGAAAGTGTGGAGCGTTAGAGCGAAGCATCACAGTCACCATGCCTAAAAGAGAGCCGCGCACAAGCTTGTAGTTATGGTGGCTGTCTAGCACTATAAAGCAGCTGGCACCTCTTGATGACACCGTGGGTCGTGAAAGCCACTTATGTCTGTATAGCACTTTCGGTTTAAGAAGTTGGGCACGCCTAGACTATTTCCTTCATTGTTTGAATAACACAGCCTTAATTAGGTAAAGCATAAAGCATTTGTTATTACCTGCAAACTGAACGAAGAGGATCCGTAGCGTCCTGGCTGTGTCTATAGTACCTTACGCACAACCTCATCAGCAGTGTACCATCGAATGAGCTCCAAAAAATGCCAGTATTTCTTTTTCTTAGGACCAATATACGCATTTGTTTAACAGTTTATGGTATTCTAAGCCCTAAGCTAGCACCCCAGCTGAAATAATCTAGCCTTCTTACTTTCGGCTTTCACAGAAATGCGGGGGGGGACACTTCTAGGTCGATAAAACCGGCTCCACGAGGTTTTTGTACATAAAGCGAAGCCTGGTTTTGACTGTTGCTATTTGCAGAAGCTGAGGTGCCATCTGCTAACCCACAGACGTCCTCAAACACATTTGCCCGCTCTGTCTGAGGCACTTTAGTCCTGTTTATGCAACATCTGTACCACTATTTGTCTCTACAGGTATTCCTTCTGAATTTTCTCATCCCTGAAATTCACTATAATTTTTGTTGCCTTCAGTAGCTATCCAGAATGAAAACTCAACAAGCCACTTCGATTTGCTCAGAGTAATACCCCTGTCACACGGGCACTTAAAAGTCTTTTAAGTAAGCGGTCTTTTTCCGAAAAGGAGTTCCTGACAGCAGACACACGGCACAGAGCGAACTCCTTTTCAGAAGCGGTCTTTTTCGTAAACGGCGTTCGTCGATCTCTTTTACGGCTCCGAATGAGTAGCCTCGAAACCAGTGGGCGCCAGCAATTTTCGAGTGGTGGGAAAAAAAGAGCGAATGCTTATTTTTCTGTCACCAAAACTCTTTGTAAAAACAAATTTCATATCCTGCAGAAGGTGTAATGAACTCTTTTAATGGTTATTTCCTTTTCTACTCTCGTAAGCAGCTACAACGCGTCGGCAATATCACGTGGTGACGCTCGGTCTTGCGCTGCTTTATCCTCTCCTTGGCGGCTTTTGCAGCGTCTGCCTCGCTTTCCAGAGCGAGAAGGCAGGCCGTGAGGCTTGCGATCCTCGCTTTTTCTCCCGTACGGTCGCCCATAACGTGTCGAGAGCAGTCGAGAGCAGCGAAAAACAAATACGGTAAATAAAAGCACAGTGGTGCCAGACGGACTTGTGCACGTCGCTAGTTATCGGAATGCTTCCTTATCCAGTGCAAAAAAACTTTCACATTGGTGTTTCTTCATCTCTTATTCTTAAATTTATTTGAAGAAACGAGCAGTGCAACAAGTCTTTAATTTGTACATCGTGATACATCGTTTAATTTTCATTGCTTCTCTTTTAACTGCTAGCGCCACGCTTTCGCTGGCGTCTTCGAACGAAAACACTAAAAGGAGATCGTTGCTGCCGTGTGTCTGCGCCGCAAACGCCTCTTTGTTAAAAGTCTTTCAACTTCGTAAAAGACCGCTTACTTAAAAGACTTTTTGCGCGCCCGTGTGACACAGGTATAAGCCCACATACCCCACTTGTTCAAAAAGTCAACATGTCATAACCGCTCACAGTTTGTCTTTATTAACAACAGCTCGTCTGATTCCCTGCAAGTAAATTCCGGAGTTCCACAAGGATCTGTTCTCAGGTCTCTTCTCTTCTTAATATATATTAACGATCTGCCTGCTCATGTAACCTGTAATATTCGCATGTTTGCGAATGATTGTGTCATTCACAAAACAATTGATAATACATCTCACCAAAATTCTCTTCAGGAAAATATTAACCATCTGCAACAATGGTGTGATTGCTGGCTAATGACACTAAACCCCAATAAATGCAAAGTTGTGACCTTCTCCCACCGTCGTAACCCTCTGGCTTATTTATATGCAATCAATAACATACCATTAGAAGCTGCGTCCTCTTACAAATATCTTGGTGTTACCATAACTAATGATTTGTCTTGGAACGTGCATATTACTACTGTCATCTCATCTTCTAATAAGGCACTCGGTTTCTTTAAACACCACCTAAAACAAGCTCCAAATTATGTAAAATTACTAGCCTACCAAACCATAATCTGCCCTAAGCTCGAATACGCATGCGCAGTATGGAGCCCCCACCAAACATATTTAATCAACGCTCTCGAATCTGTACAAAACCGTGCTATAAGGTTCATACATTCTCAATATTCATGTCATGTCAGCGTGTCGTCAATGCGAAATGAATTAGGACTACCGACACTTGCTACTCGTCACCGTGTATCATCCCTATCTCTTTTTCATAAGTGCTATCATTGTTCGCTTAATCAACCACCGTACATTATTCCCGCTGGCAGAACGTCACATCGAACTCTGTGCATGAACCAAGTGGGCCGCGCCCGTACTCATACTGCAACTTTTTCAGGTTCTTTCTTTTTCCGCACAGCCACAGATCGGAACAGCCTGCCCCACGAAATTGCCGCCCTAACCAGCGCACCCAGATTCATACAAAAATATCCAATCATTTTGCAGAATAAAAACTACTGGATGTCATTTTCATCATTCCAACTGCATGTATACATTGCAGAATCATGTACCCATATTACTCATACCGTGTTTAATAATGCTTATACACATGTCATTTCCAACTATTGTATAATGAACATATGTAAACCCAACCCTTGTGTAATGCCCATGTTGGGCTTTTAAGGTAATAAAATGAAATGAAATGAAATGTCGCGCACGTCACACTCACTTGCGCAGCGTTTTTGGTATAGTGCCTCAGAGTTCTTAAAACATTCATGAAAATAACTTGGCATGCATCATGGCTCTGTAGTAAAGCTGTGCAACTGTAGCCTTCTATGCATCATTTAAACGAATTGTGAACCGTGCATTCTCATTTTCACCGATACGTTTATGAACCTATTACAAGGAACTGTATTTGATGCCTTTAGAGCCCCTAATGTGGCATTATATGCTAGGAGCACGACCTAAACAAACAATGCATGTTTATATCTGATGTCAAGCTTTTAAAGACGAAGTGCAGTAGCCTTTGTCGTCCGTTTTCGTTTTGCATACCCTGCCATACAGCTAAACCTGCTTATAACAAAGCGCCATATAACGAATTCCTCGATTAAACGAATTTTTCTATTTCCCGCCGTCGCTCCAAAGAAGCACATGTATTTGCGACCTCCATGTAACAAAGTAACTGCGGGAGGCAGCCTTGATATAACGAACTTTCCCCACGGACAATCTGGGAATTTCGCTCCGCATTTTGCTACGAGCATGCATCTTTCGCGGCTGCCCCACCGAAATGCGAAGCGGCGACAGCGGGTATAAGACGGCCCGCGTCCGCGTGAGGCGGGCCTGCACCCCACGAGAAGGCACTGCCCCTCGTTCTCGCCACCACCGTCGCATGCGCTGGTGTGCGCCCCCCCTCCTTACTGAAAAAAAAAACTACTTTTGCGCGTTGGCAGTGCCACACTATTAGTTAGCGTCGCATATGTGGGGCCGCACTGCATATGGATCGGTGCTTGACCCAATATAGTTTACCGCGATGTCCGTGCCTGTCTCTGAGTCGTTCGAATTTCGTTTTCAATGCTGTGCGCGCATGCATAGTTTCACTGCGCGCGCATGGTGTGTCCCCCGACGACTTTCAGCTTTGCTTTTTTTGATTGCGATAGCAATTATGTAGATGGATAGTCTCGGCAGTTTTTTTTTCGCCTTCATTCATCCTATATGTATACGTACCAATATATATGAAAACTTAAGAAAAAAAAAAAGCCGCCTGCACTCGGCGCACAGCGCGTCACGTTGCGCCGACGCGCGCTTATCTCCCACGCGTACTTTGCCCCGCTAGTGCGGGGGGGGGGGGGGAGGTTAGATGCTTGTGCGCGTGCGCTTATCCTTCGGTGGGGAGAATCGCGCGCCTTAGACTTTGACCAGAGCGATTGCGATTGCGTTTGCCGGGCGCACAAAGGTCCCTTCGCTCTTTTCGCACAGTCCCTTCGCGTTAAAACCGCACCGATACTCGCCGAGATCGCAAGCGCGCCAGCGATCGCGACCCGCCCTCAAAGTCCAAGTTCTTTATTGCTACTCGAGCGATACCCCTCCACTCACATTGTTTCGTGCTCGTTTAAGACAGGTGGTTTACTTTCTGTTTGAGCATTCGGTGGCAGTTCTAACACGCGGGAGATGTTATGCACTTTCCAGTCGACAGGGATGGGCTGACTCATTTGATCTCTGCTTCAGCAGCGCTCGCTCGCTTTTACCCGCTCGTGAAAGTTATGATGCGCGGGGGCGTGTTATCAATTTGGACTTGTTGCGGAACATGGCGGCAACATCAAAAGCCCGCCGAGAGTGTCCATACAATTGCCATCGCAATAATAACGCAGTTTTTTTACTGTAAAATAAGTGTTTGGGGGCTAGCTCTGCCTTCAGTCCCCCTTTTGTTTAAGTTGTACGTTTATTTTCTGAATTTTGTGCCGAACCTGCATATAACGGAATCCTCTTTATAACAAACTTTTTTCGGAAATTTATAAATTTCGTTATATCCAGGTTTAACTGAATAACCAAAGTAGATTTACGAGCTTCAAACTTGCACTGGGATGGTAATAATAATTGATGGTCTTTAACGTCCGAAAACCACGACTCTAAATTCACGGAACTTATACATTTCTTCCTTCACTGGAAATGCGGCCACCGCGGCCGTAATTGGGTCCCTCAATCTTTGGTTCAGCAGTCGAGCATTGTAACACTAGATCACCCTGGCGCATACAGTGGAACAATCGCTTTCACAGCGCGTGTCACGGATAGTCATCGCGACGAAGCCTATGAATCTTCATAAAAGTCTTATAGGCGTTCCCGTGTTTATCTATGGCTCATTGAATAAGGTTAGGGAGCTCACCGCCGTGACAACGTAAAAAGCCCGCCTGGGTTTCCGTGGCTTACTCTCTCACTCAAAAGCTCAAAACGCAACTTCACACGCCTGAACAACGCAATGCGAAAAAAGCTTGCCTTTTGTTGCAGCATGTTGCTCGAAGCACAATAAACCTTGCGATTTTCTTGAGGAGGCGGAGCTTCGCGAGCTTGGCTGCTATGTATAAACGCGCACTTTTGAACTACCAGTTCTAGTGCATAGTGAAAAACACAAAGGCCCATCTGACAAAGATTCTCCAACTTAGTCGGGTTGGCTGGAGGTCTCCATGGACCATTCCTTTACAATAAAAAAGACAGATGAATTTCAGTGTAATGTAGGCTTCTCGACCTCGCATTCTACTGGGTGGCAGCGGAGGCAGGGACAACAGAAAAGGCACACAGCACACAGAACTGTGCTGTCGAGTGCACCTTTTCAGTCGTTCTTGTCTCTATTCTGAGCTGCCACCAAGTAGGATGCACAGAGCTCGCACCTGGTAGGCCAAGTCGGTGGTGGTCACGTGGTCCCAGTGCTGGCGCTCCATTTCCGAAGGAGGCAGCAGGTCGGTGAACGAGGTCTCAAGCACCACGCAGTGCGGGACCGAGGAACGGCTCCGGGGCGAGTCTTCGAGCAGCAGTGCGTCCCTGGAGCCCTGGTCGTGGGCCGACGTGGACCCCGGCCCGTTTCCGTGGTCAGGCTTGGCCATCTTGCGCTGAGGCTTCGCGGGGCCCTTGTTGACGAGTAGCTGCAAACATGTGGAATCGAAGGTTTGCAACAGCATTTTTTGTAGAATCGAAGGTTTGCGACAGTTACTTGACTCTCATAGTTCCGTTTCGCTAGGTACTTGGTTTTTTTTTTTTTCATGTATGCAGTGGGGCAACCACGATATTCGATAACGACGCACGAAGCGTACGGCGAGAACAACGGTGTCAGGTGGCACTGAGCCGCCTAACGCTGCCGGACAGCATGCAAACACGTGGCATTCACGCAACGAATGGCACCAAACAGAGATATGCGGCGACAACTCTCGGCAACGTCTCTTTATTATTTTTATTCGTTTAAACCTGCACACCCCACTTCGCGACGTCTGTTACGTAAAAATGTTCTACGGAACCTCGTCGATGGTGCCGACGCCATGTTTCCTTTTCACACGAAAGAATGTTGAAAAGTACCCGAGCATGAATATGCATGACAGGTGTCTCGCTTGACTCGGTTGAGAAGCGAGATCTCTGGGCGCCTTCATTTTTTTGCGTTTGGGCATGCATATATTTGCGTGTGCTTAAGTCTGCGCTCATGCATACATACGGGCTACTTACGCGCATTTTTGTTTTACGCAGGTGTGTGTGTCGCCAAGGCATGCATATTTAAACGCACGAGCGCAGAATGTACATCTCTGTGCTGTTGTGTACATTAACGTGCCATATACATGAACGCATTGTGAAAGAAAAAAAAAAAAACGGGAACCAAAGGTCTTTGTTGGAACGACCGGGTTGTTATACTGTCACACGCGCTGCGCTTTTTCTATCTTTTATGTTGACGAATTCCGGGCGCAGACCAAGCCTGAATGCTTGCGAACACTCCAGGTCATTTTATGATGTTCTGCTAAGCTTCAGCGCGAACAGATGAGTTTGTTCTAAAACTGCATGAACTCCAGTGCTAAGACTGTAATGTTCGATGCCGCATCTATACAAATGTAGACGTGCCCTACAGAAGGTCACATTATCGACGTCCGACCCTCTGTTCGCCGCTATCAGTGTACAGTGTGTGTTTCTTGCACTTTGACTCTCCGTTTCTCGGCCCATGACAGCCTAAACAACACCGACCATTGCGTTCTTGAACATCACAACCACGTGACAATATTGACGCGGCAGTGAAGTACACAACAGGGAGGACAGGCTCAAGTTTGCGCAGCGCCGTTCACCACCCTAGCGGAAAGAGGGCAAAGCTCCGGTCGTTTGAACGGGCCGCGCTTGCTGGGTTTTCCCATTACGCATACAGGAAACGTTTTCCTTGGAGCGCTTATCTTGCATTTGGCACGCTCTGGGCAAGCGCCCCTTCGTCATTCTGGAAAACAGGTACCCACGACTGCTGCATTGTTAGCTGCTATAAAAGTCTAAACAAGACGAAGACTGACGCCACCAATTCATCGTTCCACAAAGAGTGATTGATTGATATGTGGGTAACGTCAAACTGATTTGAGAGACGCACGTTGGAGGCGAAACTGGGTCTTTAACGTGACCAATGCAAACAGGACACTTTCGCCTCCATCGGAATGAGCGCGCAGCGGATTGAACCGGCCTGCGGGTCAGGCAGCGAGTCCTAGCCACTAGACTCGCGCGGGGCATGCAACGTGGAGAGAGTGATTATGCAGTTCCGATACCCGCATCTACGTAAGTCGAGCACAGTACAAACTATTATTAACCTGAAGGAAATGTGGTGGCCGGACTATAGTAAAAAAAAAAAATGCGCGTTTGTAAACTCAAACTACAGCAAATATACACCGCTATACATTTCCGCTTGGGCTCTGGCTTTTCGAGACAACCATTGGTAGTGTGAAATCGGTGGAGCTTGTTAGCTTGATACACTCAAAATACCCTACCGTAAGCCCTACATGTGCTTTATTCAGCTGATGGCTGTAGACTTCTCGTCGTTACTCAGTGTAAAACAGATTTGTGCTGCGGGTTCACGCTGAGTGTTTATACGTATACAGGTCTTGCAAGCAACGCCCACCGATAATTTCACATGATGAGGTGTTGTGATGCTAGGATCCAAGTCATGAGTTCGATTCCCGCGTACGTAAGCTGCATTTCCACGGCAGCGAAATGCAGTAACAGTGCGCTCAGATTATGGTGCAATAATGATGATAAACAGGGCGTGTTGGCGTTGCATATTTTAGGTGTACGTTGGTATGACGCTCAATGTGAACAAAGCGGAGCTCGGTGTGTGTGCACCCTCTGTCCGTTGTTGTCGCGTCGTATACACTTCAAATAGATTTAGGTGCACAAAAACGAAAAACGCCTCGGGTGGCCGGAACCCGTTTCTCAAACCACGGCGTGCCTCCTAATAGTATGATGGTTTCGGCACGTAAAATAGTATGTCCTTGCACGGGCCCAAACTGCAGGCGATATACAGCTGCCGCTGTGAGAAAAAGTTGATTGAGTGATTGATTCATTGATTGTTTGATTGATATGTGGGGTTTTACGTTCCAAAACCACCATATGATTATGAGAAATGCCGTAGTGGAGGGCTCCGGAAATTTTTATCACCTGGGGTTCTTTAACGTGCACCTAAATCTGAGCACACGGGCCTACAACATTTCCGCCTCCATCGGAAATGCAGCCGCCGCAGCCGGGATTCGATCCCGCGAGCTTCGGGTTAGCAGCTCTGAGAACGAGTTGAAAAAAAGAACTAAGACAGCAATAAAAAGTTTCGATGGTTTCACGAAATTAGAAGCGGTTATCAGGGCCGAATTTCAGTTTAACAAAAAAGATGCTATATCCTATGAGGGTATTGTATATTATGACAAAGACCAAGCGAGCTGTCAATGTTCGACATTCGAATCAGGGAACACGCTGCGTGATCAGACATGGATCTTATTGCGAAATGAAACATGCGCAACAGGAAACATGCATGATGGAAGTGGACATAAAATACTCTCCTTTTGTGTGTGTGATCATTATGCTTTCAAAGAAGCTGTAAAAAAAATCCAAGACGGCATTCGACTCACGATACTACGTCGTTAACATGCAATGAAAACCTCGGCAAAAGTGAAACTCTTACAAAAGCTGAACACTGCGCATTGAAATGGTGCCAGGGACTTAACAGGGCAGACGTAAGTCAAGTCTGTTCGCACTGACCTCCTAATAAAGTGAAAGCCACGTGACAGACTTGGCATTCAAGCAAGAGAAATCTGAACCCTGTACACAGGCGAAAGCGTGGTGGTAGTTTACCGACAGCTCCGAGAAGACACAAATGCCGCAGCAAATGCGCGTTTTACCGGTAACATACATATGCTATTGACGCCGTCCCCTTATGTTTAATGCCATGGAAAGGCAGCTGTCCGTCATCGACAGTCACATAGCACTCGCTCAAAGACACCGTGTTTCACTTGCTTGGTCCCGCAAAGGTTGTCAGTGAATCGCTCTCGGTTCTGATAAGACTTACACCGTGAAAACGTTTTTTTTAATATCTTTAAACCTTCGGAGCAAGCCACAGGTGACGCTGCACGTGGAGGGCGACCAGATAACAGCGCGTGCAGAGCGCGTGAACGTGCTGAGATAGCGCAGGCAGAAGACGGGAGTAGGGTACCGAGCGACCGGCTTTTGCTAGAAAGGCGGTGAAACGCGTAAGGTCCCCAGATGTTTCATCTAGGGACCTTAGAAGCGCGTGCGGCACAGCGCCCCCTGGCCGAGGTTGGGAGGCCCATACTCCAGACAAAAAAGAATGGAGTTGCTCGTTGCTTTGGGTGTTCCTTCTTTTTCCTAGCAAAGGCGCTATGGGTGTTACTTCCTTTGCATAGCAAAGGAAGTAACACCCACAGCGCCATGATAACGCTCACTGAAATCGTCATTCATAAAAAAAAAAACTTATCAGAGGGTAAGGCACGTCGGCAATTACACACGCGGCATCGATAATACCACCGATATCGTAGGAGGTCCCGTCATTTCCAAAATAAACTCGACTGCTACTGTTGTGCACTAATTTTTAGCAGAAAAGTCTTAAATAAACGGGAACGTTCCGATACATTCTGGCATGCTATATGCGAGGAGCAGCGGTTAAATCTGCAACGAGGCGGATACATAAAAAAATTTTTCAGGCAGCTTCATAGCAGCGGCGTGCAGTGTCAGTTTGAAGGAATCGCGAAGCCGCGTGGTTTTTGCCTTGGTGGTCTTTTTTTTTTATTTCTTTCTTCTGCTTCTTTCTCGTTCTCCCACTTCTTTTTCTTTCTGTGATTTTGTGTTTTTTATATTTATTTCCCTCTCTATGTATTTCATTATCTGCCTAACTTTCATTATCGTTCTTGACTTTGTCTCACCCTGTTTCACACTTCCTCGTTCTTTCTGTCTCACTTATTTTTCAGCATGCGTGCTCTAATATAGTATTGAATATAGAAGAGGACGCAAGTATACGCTAACGCAGTGTGGTTTCTTAACACATTCGCTAACATAAAAAAAAACACCAGATATTGTACAGAGGAAGGCCACGAGATTTATCTGCAGCAAACTTAAAAGTACTGATTCTCCCCCAAATACGCTGACAAGCTGCGGCGTACAGACTTCAGCGATTATGTCAAAGCAGGAACGCGTGAAATTTGGAAATACGCAATTCATGTTCGACCCCTCCCCACCAATATTTCATGTGAGCCGCACGCTGGCCGTCGAGAGGCGCAGGCTCTTGCTCTCCGGCACCAATTCGGCTCCAAACAAAACGTATTTTACACGGACATCGCCGGCCGTTATCGCGGAGGTTGGTATACGGCCGCCGTGGTCCACCAAGACAGGCAGGTGGATGGTCTGTCCTTCCGCGCAACCAATGCTACCCATGCTGAAGAGGTGGCCATCGCTCTTGCTATATCACACGTCAGTTTTCAAATTATATTATCAGACTCCAAAGGAGCTTGCCGAAATTTTCAACTGGGATGGATCACACCCTTAGCTGCCAAAAATCTTAAATCTTGTCTGCGAGTAGGTTACCGCTCTCCGCGTTCAATAATCTTGACTCCTGGCCATCAGGGCCTCGCAGGCAACGAGGCGGCGCACGCTGCTGCCCGCGCACTCATTCCCAGGGCCACTGCATCGCCCACCGATGACCCTTGTGTTTAAAAAAAAAACGCTCCTCTCCTAACTTATAGAGAGATAATTACCTATTACCGGGACTCCCACCACCCTTTTCCTCCGCCCTGCAAAGGACTTAGGAAGGCGGACGGGAGAAATCTTCTCCGGGTATTTACCAATACTTTACTGTGCCCGGCAATACTTTGACTCTTCCTTTTCCGGCCTCAGCCAGTACTGTGCGGAGGTGGCTGACACCTATCACATGGTATGGGCATGCAAGCTCAATCCTTCTTTGCCCCCGAACACAAATTCAACAAGAGAGGACTGGGAGGCGGCCCTCCTCGGTCGTCAGGACCTTGCGGCCTATAAGAAGCTATGGTCCAGCGTGCCAGGACAGCGGCCACGACCAATGGGGTCCATGACTAGGGACTGAACCTAGTACTGCAGGGAGGCTGAGCCACTAGAGGCTGGTCTCCCTAGCAACCTTTGCTTTTTTAGGTGCGAAGCTTTTTATAGCGGCACCCGTTCGTCCCGCGTAGCCATTGTAGTACGTAACAAGTATAACACTTTGACCTTCAAAGTGGTGCCAGTGAGAAATTTCTTCTGTGCGTTGTTGAACAATAAAAAATAGTGCTCAGTGTACATGCCAATGGCTGCTAATGGGGAACGAAAGACAGGAGCATTCGGCTTTTAGTTAACGCGCACGCTGCGATCCCCATTAGCAGCCATTGACATGTACATTGAGCACTATCTGACAAGAAAAGGCTGCGACGTTATACTCACGTTATACTCGCTGGGTGTAACCTCCTTAGTTTTAGAAAGGTTTAGCGAGCGTTGAGCCTCAGTGCCAGGAATACAATGAACTAGTATATACCATGAATGAACTCGAGGTGGTTAAAGGTGGGAAGATACGAAGCGCAAGCCGTAAGAAAGTAAAAGCCGAATTCTCCTGTCTCTCATTTCCCATTAGCAGCCATTGGCATGTACATTGAGCACTATCTGACAGGAAAAGGTTGCTACGTTATACTCGCTGGGCGTAACCTTCTTAGTTTTAGAAAGGTTTAGCGAGTGTTGGGCCGCAGTGCCATGAATACAGTGAACTAGTATATACCATGAACTCGAGGTGGTTAAAGGTGGGACGTAGACCCGAAGCGCAAGCCATAAGAAAGTGTGCGTGTGCCTCCGCTCGTTTAGTCCTTGGAATGTGCGCTGGATAGCGGCGCTTCTATATGGGGAATATATGATGAAAAGATGCGAGATGGTGGTACTTGGAGTGTTGAATAGATGGACGAACGGACACACAGGCAGATGCATGGATGGACGCATGAACGTACGCGGGGGCAGATGCATAGACGAACGCCGGGACGGACGCACGAACAGACACACGCACGGACGGGCGGATGGATGGACGCATGGACGGTTACACAGACGGACGCATGAACGGACGGAAGCAAAAACGAATGGATGGACGAATGCTTCGCCCCACTCTCCATCATTCACTCCGTGGATATGCTGCCAATTTTTTTCTTGTAAATAAATGTTTACAACAACTACTACTAATACTACTACTACTACTACTACTACCCCCAACACTAAACAACCTGAAAAAAAAAAAACATCGACTGAATTGATTAGAATTCACGGGATGTGAACAAACGCCGGCTGCTGCCCCTCCACATGAGATACCCTTTTACGCTGCTGGATCGAAAAGAGTGCGTCGATAACTGCAAGCGTGTTAGGCAGCGCGTCTCGTATAATATGTGCCCTTATTAATTACACCGGCCTGCACCACGGGCGCCCAAATTTTTCTCGGTAGCGAGTTCATCGAGCGGGCCGCGATCTATGAACGGCCACGGCACTAACCAACTGGCGAGGTTCTTTTTATTCCGCGGCCAAATCCTGAAACGGGAACGCTAATGATAGCGTTGCACAAAAGTGCGCTATGTTGAAGGAGAAGGTGCACAAAGTGGTTAGGCACCCAGACATTTCAGCGAGAATTAACCCTGTTACGATTTCCCTTCTCGCACTGCGCTAGCTGCGTGGTGCTGTGTCGCCGAATGGCTCGCGTGCTAAAGCAGCAAAAAAAAAAAATGGCACAAAACTCAATAGCCAGATTCACTGAGTAAACAACAACCACACCAAAAACAGATTCCAACGTTCAAACGTACGACTAAGTAATCTACGTAAATTTATTTTCAGCGCATTGACCTCGTGACATATCAGCGGAATAAGGACCTAACGTTAACTATAAGCAAAAAAAATACTACGAAGGTATAGGGGGTGTTACTCGTAGTCATCACGATATCAGCGGAATTAGGACTTAACGTTACTAGAAGCAAAAGAAATAAAAAGACAACGAAGGTATAGGGGATGTTCCTCGTAGCCATCACGACGCCAGGCTGAAGAAAGGTAAGTGTACGAAAAAAACATAACTGATTCCCTTATATAAGAATCAGTTTAACGCGAAAGTGATTAGTCTTCACAGATGTAGTTGAGCGATCATTGTGCATTGTTTCAGCAAGAGCAACACATTGAAAAGTCACGTTAAAAACGACAAGCAACTTCAAATTTGCAGCGCACACTTCAAGCAAAAAGAAAGCAAGAAATTAGCACACGCAGGATGAGCGCGCACTAACAACTGTCACAGCTCGACACTTGAAGCGCGCTGCTTAAAATAGAAGAAAAAGTGCACGAAACGAGCGTACAAGTATTCACAAGACCAGCGGGAACAGCTGTCACAAATCTTCCTGCGTCGAGAGTGAGCAACGCGTTCTTTAAGTTAACGCGGCCGCGGCAGCGAGAAAGGTTACCTTCGTCCTTTCCCGAGTTACGAGTATGATAAGCATCCGTGCGGGAGAGACCACGCTCCGTGGAGGCGGCACTTCGCGGAGGCGATGACCTTTAGAGCGCGCCCAACGCCACCCAACGCGAGCCTGTCGCACCATCTGGCTGCTGATAACGAAAACGCGTTAAAGTTTCTAAGCTCTGAGGACCACTAAACGGTGTATGGTGCTTGAGATGGCTTGCCTTTAGCATTCCGACAGCGTGTTCGCGTGACCTAGTGGTTAGCGTCGTGAGCTGAGAATCAGGGGTTGCGCGTTAGATTTGCTGGAACTCACACTTGTTTTTAAATCTGTTATTATATACTACAACGTCATACCAGTGACAGAAATACGTCAGCGGAGCTGTAGTGGACCCCGGCATAAAACAATTACGTGCTAAAAAAAAAAAAAACTTCCGCTGGCGGGGGCCAATCATTTGGCCTTCTATTAAAGCGTCCGATCCTCTGCCAATCTGAGCTACACCGGTAGTCATCTCCCGTCTACATTATCAGAGCCAGCACAACCTCTAGTGCCCCTGTATATGTCAAGTAGAGTTGCGCATTTCCTTTCCTCTGATCCGCTCACGCCGCTTTACGGCGAGCACCGTCACGTGGTCCGAAATGACGTCCACTCTATTACAGTCGTCATCGTCGTCGTTTTTTTTCCCTTTTTTTACAACAGCTGCTCAGAAAACGAATACTGACGTAAGTACATCAGTGAACTTGTTCTGGATTTTTATTCTTTTCTTCGGGCTATTTAAATATTTCTAGACCCGGAACACCACGGCGCGTCTGCCTTTCCCCTTTGCGAGAGGGCCGCGACCTTTGTAAATGCATGTTGTCGCATACTAACGGCGTCTCTTGGTCGCTCTGTGAGAGATTTTTCAAGCTAAGCCTGTAAACATTTAGGTGGTGGTGGCGTAGTGCGCAAAAAAAACGAGGCGTCAGAAAAGGTACAAAAATGCAGCCTTTGAAGGCGTGACAGAAATAAATAAGTAAGTAAGTAAATAAATAAATAGATAAATAATAAATAAATAAATAAATAAATAAATAAACAAATAAAAATAGAACGAGTACTCCTCAGTCAGTCTCCTGTTCACTACTGTCGGCTCTTTTAGCACCTGTACCTTTTCGAGGGCGTCCAGCAGTTTGTCCGGCATGTGGTCCTGTATCATGACCGGAGAGATGAGCACCTGGTCGAAGTCCTTGTTGTCTGCCCACAGGCGCCTGGTACACCGGCTCGTTCTTGTGCATGACGCGCCTGCAACGCGTGCCACCAAAAAGTAAGTTGCATTGAATCGTCGAATTCCGCTGAGTTTTATCTACGGATGTAGGATTTACCTAAACGTGGCAGTAAACATTGACAAAAGAAAGTAAGCGAGAAACATTGCCTGGTGGGATTGAAATTTCTACGCCCAAGATGTCCAGTATTGTTTCGCAAAGTTCGGACGAAGTTGTGAATGTTTTGTTAGAAAGCAAACGGCCTGTCGTCCAACCATATAAAGCTCTGGTTGAGTGACCTTGTATACCATAGCATCTTAGATACCAAGCCATCAATGTCCTAGCAATAAGTATTTCCGTCCAGCTTCAAGAAAAAAACGCAGTCTGGCTTAAGAATAGCTTGCAGATAGGATGATACGGAACAAACATACCCCGAAATGATGCGTCAACAATAATTACAGCTTATATAAAGTAGTTTCTAGGCATAGCAGATCCATAGTTTCAATTTTTCTGTGGTCTAAATGGCCGTTTATAACTCAATGAAGAAAGGAGTCTTGGATATGTAGTAGACGATTGTAAGTGCAGGTAGGCATCAACAATGCAACCTCATGTTTTGCAGAAGCTGTGTCGGGTAGTTCACTTGTACGTTACTCGATCATGCACAGATAGCTTAACCTGAAAAACTCTATCGCTTCCGTCTTGTACTTGTCAACGTTGTCATCCCCGCACTCAGACACGCCCACCGCATAGCAGCATCACCCCATAACAGTCATCAGCAACTCGAACGCTCCGTCAACGTGAACGCTACGCAGCATGCGCTGAAAAGGTTTGACTGACTCTAGCGGCGCGTAGCTATGGATTCCGTAGCCGATATGATGCTAGCGCATGCCGACACGCTATCCAAGAATACCGACGTATTATCACAAAAACAGCGCCCAGTGCTTCGCGGCCCGCATCAGTCAAACTAGCGCTAGGGAATGCTGCCTAGCGTTCTAGTTAAGCTTGCTGACGAATAAATGTTGTCGCAGTTCGGTACGTCATCGATGTTGTGCCCGCCATGGTTACCTGGTGGGAGTAAATTGAGGTACAGCGCGTATCGAGTAAGGAAGTTGGGCTTACGACCCAATAGCCTGCGACGCCTTGCCCACAAGGGTGGGCACGGTGTCCCAGCAAAACCCAGCACGACTGCCACGGTCTCCCTGATGGGCACAGCATTCCATCATACTGTTAGTGGTGGACATACTGGGAAGCAACTGCTTGGACAGTACGGCGAGATTAGCGTGAATAGATCGCGCTGTATTTATGCTGGGAAAAGAGGATAAGGTAGTAATAGCGAATTGTAGGCGCGCATACATAAATGGCATTGCTGTGGCTGCTCGCGCTTAGATAACTCGTAGCTTTGAGTTCTACGTAATGGAATACGCTTTGCGGGTAAAGGTTCCATCAGTGTTCATGACACAGTTGAAACGAAACTCCCATCAGAGGCACTTGGGTCGACTTACCTCCACCTGGGCTCGTACTTTTGGCTGCCGTCAGCAGGAGGGAAAAAAAGGAGACGAGCGCAGATTAGTAACGTTTATGTTTAATTAATTAATTTATTTCGAATACACCTAAAGGCCCTCATGTGAGAGTATTAGATATATATTTCCACGTTCTAAAGTTGGTTATAGGATGTACACACTACAGCAAAATGAAAAAAAATATACACTGTGAGATATGAAGGATTAGCCCTTAAAGAGAATGAAGCCATTGGATGGTTACTTTTCAAAGTGATGCAGGGCCCTTTTAAACTATCCACTTTTCAACTTAACGTCCAATGATATTTCCAACCAATCACGCATTGCGCACATTGAGGACAATGTCGGTCCATAGCTGCGTGGTGTAATTGACGAATGTTTTGTTGAAACAGGTTAAGACATAACTGTAAAATAAACTACAGATTGTCGTATCACTATACGCCCAAAGAAAGCTGCGATACAAAATTTCCATTGATAAATGTAACAGTGAATCGCAAGTCCCACGTTTGTCGGTATTACGCGATCTTTAGTATTGGCTGTGCGTCTTCACTGCATGTTCGAAACAAAGAGTGCGGTCAGGCATTCTAATATTAGCAGTCTTGTCACAGAAGCTTTTGCAAACGCCGGGATGGTTCTCTGACGATGTCACTTCTAACTGACATACCACATTGTTTTAGCAATATGAAAGGTACACAAAAAAGGTTGTTCTCACTGCATGAAAATGTATACACTGGACAAACACTATTTAAAGTCATGTTTTTAAACTAGCGGTTTCTGCCACTCTTAACATGCTGGTTTCCTTCTTATTCTCGTCCTGCATGTCGTGTTAAGCGTATATTATACATTGCTCCACATTTATAGGTTCCAGCAATTAGGTGAAAAATAAGAGTGACAAATGTTCCTTCTTCAGGGGAATCTAACATGTGGTACGAACGTCCCTCGGAGGAGCTTTTTCCCACGACAGCGCTTTCTGCTGCAGTGTTATGTGGTATACCCCAATCTTTGCGATTTCTTGCATCCAAGTTTTGCCGGACAAATGGAAAACGTTCTACATACACATGTTCCACCAGTTAGGCGGAATACATAGCAGACAATGTTCCGCTCGAAGGAAATATGCTGGTATAAGAAAGTACGATTAGAAACAGTGCGATCTAAATAATCAAGAAAGGCTGCTGATACTGATAGTTAACTACTGATAGTTAAAAAAACAGAGCACTCACTCCTTTGGATGGTTGCGCACAATGTGGATGATCCTTCCGGGTGGATACAGGGGTTGGTGGGCAGTGAGGGCTATCGTTGCGTCACTGGGGTGACTGGTGACGTCACGGTCCGCCAACGTCGGACCTTCGACGCCGTCGAAGTCTACCTCGTCAGGGCAGCAACAGAGGACGCCTCCGAGGATGATTTTCCACTATATCAGGAGTAAGGGCAGGGGTGACGGCGGAAAGACACCTCGATGTCATCAATGATCGCATGGACAACCCCGTTGCACAATCGCGATAAGCAACAGCTAAGATAAAAGTACAGGGTTCGATTGTCAATCACGCTAAGCCTTACACTTCTAATGACACTTGACTTCCAAATTTACACTTCTATTTACACTTCTAAATTGCGAGAAATTACGGAGATATCTGCTGAGCGCAGATTAAAGACTGTTATCAGTGTAGCTATACCTTCTGTGTAGGTAATTGCATCTCCCTGTCTTGAACAACCACTGAGATTATTCGCGCAGAACAATCGTGGACTCGTACGACAAATTCTATGACCTTCCTGCCGAAAAAGGTTATCTGATTGACTTTATGACGTTTCTATATCTATTGGTTACGGAACATTGATTCTGTTTTGTGCTCGAGACTGATACAGTGTACCTACGTCGAAACGCTGAAAGGAAGTTTGCTAGCTCACGGCAGTGTAGAACGGTGGCAATGATCAGGTGATTTTTCCTGACTAGCCTTAGCGATACAGCTTGTCTCTCGAAGCTAACATAGGCCTTACACTATATACATACCTCTACATAATGCAATCACGACACCTTTGACACTTCTGATGGAGGCGGAAATGTTGTAGGCCCGTGTGCTCAGATTTAGGCGCACGTTAGGGAACCCCATGTGGTCGAAATTCCCGAAGCCCTCCACTACGTCGTCTCTCATAATCATATGGTGGTTTTGGGACGTGAAACCCCACGTAACAATCAATACTTTTGACACTCTGTATTCATAATACAATTGTCCCGATAGTCTAAAAAATAGAGTAACCAGTCAGCACTGAGTGTAAGCAGAGGCTGTTAATGCTCGACACAGAGTGACAATTGAATTCAGCTCTAGACACAATAAGAACAGCGGACAAACTCAACCAAAACATAATGAAGCTCACCGTGAAGATGCACACACTAGCCATTTCCGCTACTATAATACCAATAGTCACTATTGCGTCGAAATTTGGCTTACGAACATTTATGATGCAGGAACGTCTCGCAAGTACGAGTACCAGCTCTGGAAGATTTTCCTGTTTCGTTTTGTTCAAGCTGAATCTCTGCTATATGCTAAACTGTAATCCTAAACAGTTCCTAATAGCATCAATTTTATTAAATGTTCTATTCACCACAAGATTATCTTTCTGTTTGAATTTCCAGTGTTTGCGGACCATTAGAATAAGTCTGTGCACTCGTGTTCATGGAATGTCTGCCTCTCCATAGCACGTACTGAATGAGCGTTCACAGCTGTCAGGTGTCAATTTTATGTGATTCCTTTGTAGTAAAGTTTTCATATATTCTCATTCTTTATATAAACATGCTATTTGTATTTTTCACCGTCGAGCATTCGACTCTCCTGCATGCACAATCTATTCCACGGTGCACTTGACGAGCGCGGACACGCTCTCTTGTAATAAAAAAATAATGTAGAGTCCTCACCACCTAATCTAAACATAGAGCCCCACTTAATTAAGACTGCACGCACCGCCTAACCAACAATGAAAACAATAAACCAGCGGATCTCAGTAAGCACTTGGCTCACGAGCGTGCCAAACACTTTCTTTTATTTTCCACCATGTTCTCGTTTCTTCATTTTATTTCGGCAAGTAAAGCTGCTTCTATTTTGGAAGGCTGTGTTCCGAGACAATAAATGCCTTCGCGTTTATTCAGGCACCGACGTGATAATACACACACACACACACACACACCTATATATATATATATATATATATATATATATATATATATATATATATATATATATATATATGAGATCTAACAGACAGGAATGCCAAGGAATGTAGAGGGGAAGATATTAGAACCAATTGAATGTAAATAAGAAGACAGAAAAGTGGATGAAAAAATAATCAGCCGTGAGCAGGAATCGAACCTACGACCTTCGAATAACGCGTTCGATGCTCTAACCACTGAGCTACCACAGCGGCCTTGCCTCCATCCACTTTTTTGGGTTTATATGCGAATTTAGAAGTAGGAGTGACAGTCAGCGCCATCTATAAGCCAAACGACGAGTTTGAAAACACTCTTATGCGCATGTTTGGCGTCACGTGGGTCTCGTAATGGCAGACTTGGTGTGTTTAGGTTGTATAAGAGAGACAATTATTCAGCTACCCGCTCATAATAAGTTCACGTGCTACGTGACGCCAAACATGCGCGTAAGAGTGTTTTCACACTCGTCGTTTGGCTTATAGATGGCGCTCACTGTCACTCCTACTTCTAAATTCACATATAAACCCAAAAAGTGGATGGAGGAAAGGCCCGCTGTGGTAGCTCAGTGGTTAGAGCATCGAACGCATTATTCGAAGGTCGTAGGTTCGATTCCTGCTCACGGCTGGTTATTTTTCCATCCACTTTTCTTTCTTCTTATTTACATTCAATTGGTTCTAATAACTTCCCCTGTACATTCGTTGGCATTACTGTCTGTTAGTTCTTATTAATATTGTGTTAAAACACGAAAAAACGAGCCCTTAGGTATACACTTCTTTCCCTTATTTCATTGAAGGAGGGTCTCGTAATGGCAGACTTTGTGTTTAGGTTGTATAAGAGAGACAATTATTCAGCTACCCGCTCATAATAAGTTCACGTGCTACGTGACGCCAAACATGCGCGTAAGTGTTTTCACACTCGTCGTTTGGCTTATAGATGGCGCTGACTGTCACTCCTACATCTAAATTTACATATAAACTCAAAAAAGTGGATGGAGGAAAGGCCCGCTGTGGTAGCTCAGTGGTTAGAGCATCGAACGCGTTATTCGAAGGTCGTCGGTTCAATTCCTCCTCATGGCAGGTTATTTTTTCACCCACTTTTCTTTCTTCTTATTTACATTCAATTGGTTCTAATAACTTCCCCTGTACATTCGTTGGCATTACTGTCTGTTAGATCTTATTAATATTGTGTTAAAACACGAAAAAACGAGCCCTTAGGTATACACTTCTTTCCCTTATTTCATTGAAGGAGGGTCTCGTAATGGCAGACTTTGCGTTTAGGTTGTATAAGAGAGACAATTATTCAGCTACCCGCTCATAATAGGTTCACGTGCTACGTGACGCCAAACATGCGCGTAAGTGTTTTCACACTCGTCGTTTGGCTTATAGATGGCGCTGACTGTCACTCCTACATCTAAATTTACATATAACTCAAAAAAGTGGATGGAGGAAAGGGCCGGTGGTACGCATGTGGTGAGCATCGACGCTGTTTTACCGCAAGATTATCTTTCTGTTTAATTTCCAGTGTTTGCGGACCATTTGAATAACTCTGTGCACTCGTATTCATAGAATGTCTGCCTCTCCATAGCACTTACAGAATGAGGGTTCACGGCTGGCAGGTGTCAATTTTATGTAATTAGTTTGTAGTCGAGTTTACATACATTCTTATTCTTTGTATCGGCATGTTATTTCTATTTTCACCTTCGGGCATTCGACTCTCCTGCATGCACAATCTATTCCACGGTGCACTTGACGAGCGCGGACACGCTCTCTTGTAATAAAAAAAAAATGATGTAGAGTCCTCACCACCCAATCTAAACATAGAGCCCCACTTAATTAAGACTGCACGCACTGCCTAACTAACAACGAAAACAATAAACCAGCGGATCTCAGTAACCACTTGGCTCACGCGCGTGCCAAACACTTTTTTTTATTTTCCACCATGTTCTCGTTTCTTCATTTTATTTCGGCAAGTAAAGCTGCTTCTATTTTCGATACGGCCAATGCGCGGTTTTTCACAATCGTCGTTTGGCTCTATAGATGGCGCTTGACTGTCACTCCTACATCTTAAATTTACATATAAACTCAAAAAAGTGGATGGAGGAAGGACCGCTTGTGGTAGGCTCCGTTGTTAGAGGCATCGAAAACGCGTTATTCGAAGCGTCGTCGGTTCAATTCCTCCCTCATGGCAGGTTATTTTTTCACCCCACTTTTCTTTCTTCTATTTACATTCAATTGGTTCTATAACTTCCCCTGTACATTCCTTGGCATTACTGTCTGTTAGATCTCATAATTATTGTGTGAAAACACGGAAAAACGAACCCTTAGGTATACACTTCTCTCCCTTATATATATAAACATGGGGAAGGACAAGGAGGTTAGACTGTTCTTAGATTCTTAGACCACTTGGCTACTCTGTGCTGGGGCAGAGGTGAAGGAGAGTGAAAGACGATGGAAAAGAGATGTTACCAAAAAAAGTAAAAGGGGGCGGGGGGGGGGGGGGACAGCCAGAGATTCTAAAATTGGAGTGAAAAAAAAACGACACTTCTTGAAGTCTTGTCACTGAAAGAGGGACATAACAAATCACGACTTCGGAAGCGAGGGCACGGTGACTATAGCAAACGCGGCAGACCGCTAACCAAAATTATTCACTTTTGTTCCTCCTAATATAACCAGTGAACGGGGACTACGTGTCTGTGGAGCTCCGGTGCTCGCATTATCATATTTATGACGAACGGACTCGCCGGCTAGATTGATGACGGCACTGAGACACGCGGTTGCGTGTGCCTCTACTCATGATATTTACTGGCGAAATCGATCATCACCGCCGTCTTATCCAAGGTCCCAACGTTCCTCCGATACGCAGCCGATTTATTTTACACTTGAGGGATCTGCATATTATGGAGAGTGCCGTATTCGTTCTAAGCCTTCTACGCGCAAGGGGCGCTAAGATAGAAAAAAAAAGTGCGTCATTATTCTAAAAACTAAGCAGGAGAAATGATCATTATGTTGTTCATGACGATATCCTCGCTCCTGGGCTATTCGCATTAACGAATCGCCGAAGACCTAATCAATGTCTTGATATTTAGGAAAAATTCCCGCTCTTTCAGGAATTAATGTATATCGAGATAAAGCCTATACGAAATGCGGATAGCTTGTTACTGGATAATAAAATTAAGGTTTACGCTTTATAGCTGTATATCTTAATTTTTTAGTATACATTTACCAAGGAAAAAAAAACGGAAGGGGAGCGAGACACGTTCGAATACATAATGTGAGTAATCGAAATTTTACTTTTGTGGATACGATTGCATAACTTCAAAGGAAAACGCACTTCTAAGAAGGCAATCGCTACGCCTGGAGTCCTCTCGACGAAGAAAGGAAAAATTGAGTGACAGTAATTAAATCAGTGAAGCTCGAGGCGTCTTATTTCGATATCAAAATTCTATAAAATCAAGCCGCAGCAGACGTACAGTGAAAAGCAGCGTGGCGCTCTTACGACTTATCTGCGTGCATCTGTAGCCGGCACTTTCAAGCAAATTACCGTGCTCCACTTGGAAAAAAAAAGTTTCGAGAAGGGAAGAGCAGAAGTTTCGAAGTTCTTCGAAGAAAACTTTCAAGTCTTTTTTTTTATAAGCTAGCTGTAGAAGATGTGTGCTCCGTTTACCGGAAGTATAAATAAAGTTAAATCAAGCACTAGAAAAAAAATTAAGTGTGGGTATAGCAAAATAGTAGGCAAGGATGTTTCAATACATGGACAAAACGAGTTCACAAAACATATTCACAAACCAGGAGAAATAAAGTCTATGGACCATGCATGTAGCAATGTAGAAAAGAAAAATTCAGCAACTTAATCGCCCAAATGCTCAAGAAAGCGGAAAATTGGGCGAGTTAGCTACAGTTCATTGCAACGCGTAGCGCTAACGACAAGAACAGAACGGCTCAGCAGTTCCTGAATAACGCTAACAGTTATTTAGAACTGACGTCAAACCATGGGAAAAAAATTCTATAGTACGTGATCTATATAAATTCTATATACGTGATCAAGAGGTGCATTAATAGAATGATTAAATTACGGTTGTGTACTAGTATATATCATATGGTGGGTCATTGTTGTCGAATCTTGGCTATGAAGTTCCTTTAGATATCACTGAAATTCAGTACAGTACAAGTGACTTTAAATATCAGTGACATTCGGCATGAATGAAGGTGTTTCGAGCTGTATAAAGGCAACGCTGATGCGTTGATTCCGTATTGAGAGCTATAATCAAAATTCCTGTATCTTTTCCTTTTCTTTTCAGTCTGCTCATCACTACTAGTCACTTCATTTACTGGACTGTTTTGTGTTGTCGGCTTTGCGTCGAAATATCATCACCTTTATAATCGCGATCAACGTTAAATGTCCAATAGGGATCCGATACTGATAAACTGTTAACCGTTTTATATCGATCTGACATCGATCTTCTTTCGTCTTTTCTTCGACCCGACGGATACTCTTCTCGTACTGTTCGGTACACTACAAACGTCAAACTTGAATACTCCTTTTTCCACTTTATATGCCAGGCTAAATTTGATTACACCCCATGAATAAATACGAGCTCCACCCGAACACCCGTGGCTCTTTTGTTTATTACTTTTTTAAAAGACTACTCCGATCTGGTTTTTTTACGAACCATAAGTGTGTTCTCTCTTTTTTTTCATGTGAATGTAAACAAGACGCTTATCGAAAACACTTACCGAAACATTACATTTCCCTACGCAGTGACTTCCTAATATGTTGAAGTTCACTACGGCTTTCAGGTTTCCGGACTAATATCAGTGACACAAAAGATGTGTCTGCAAACACGAGCTATCTGAAACACGCGCAGTGTGATTGAATGACCTCACGGAACCGAGCGCATGTGGTTACATGGAAGGTGTGTGCGAATTCTCTTTGGTTGCGACATTGAACTCTCTTGTTAGTAATATTATGTGGGGTTTAATGTTCCAAAACCACCATGTGATTGTGAGGAGACGCCGTAGTGAAGGGCTCCGGAAATTTCGACAACCTGGGGTTCTTTAAACTGCACCCAAATTTTCAAAAAAATTAGGGGACCCTTAAGCTTCGCCTTTCAGAGTTGAACGCGATAGCGAAATCCGGCTTCTAGAGCACCCTTCAACTGCTAAGTGCATACTTACTCATATGATTTGTTACATACACACGAACGCACACAAACACGCACACAGTAGATTGGACCAGGGCGCGCTATTATCGCCGAATGGGCTCGTTTTTGTCGTCACACCTGTCGAACAAAATGTGTTAAAGGGGCCCTCAAATGCTTTTTCAAGTAACTATGGAATGAATTCACTAGAAGAGCTTTATTGCCTCATGAATTCAACGTCGCAAACATTTTAGGAATCTGTCCAGTGCGAGTGGAGTTACAAAGCTTTGTAGCATGCTGCAATTGCATTATCTCTTCTCTCGTCCCGACAAAAGCGCTGAAAGATAAGCAGGGAGGAGTGGCGGCGCAAAGAAACTACCGCGCCCCGTGACCTTGAGCACTTTTTTTTTCGAAATGCGCCCCTTTTTCAGTGTGATCGCGCGCGGGCGCATGGACAAGTAGCGGTCTCCCGCGGCTATCTTGGTAACTTGATTTTTCGGTCACAGACACACAGAAGATTTTTCGCTCACAAGCAACGGAGCCGACGCTGGCGGTGGGTTTTCTGCGACACGAGCGCTTTAACGCTATCGCGTTAAAACCACCATGCGATAGTGAGGAGACGCCGTAGTAAAGAGCTCCGGAAATTTCGACCACCTGGGGTTCTTTAACGTGCACCCAAATTGGAAAGAAAAAGCGGGCCTGCAGTATCTTCACCTCCACCGAAAATGCAGCTGCCGCAGCTGGGATTCGATCCCTCGACCTGCAGGTGAGCAGACCTTAGCCATTAGACCACCACGGAGGTGTTGATGTCCCTTCATGGCGCTCGTGTTCACTCTTATTGGTAGTAAGATGTAACCTACTACAGTAAATCATTTCTATCGTTGCCAGTAGCAACAAGAGCGTCTTGCCTCAATCGGTATACTCGTATGGACTTGCGCGGTTACTGACGCCAAACGTCAAAACGCTCTGGGATTCCCATGGTTCGAGTATAAGAACTACTATACAACATGGCCGACGAATTAAAGTTGAACGTGCATGTTCCGCGAGAGCCAAAGGGCACTTTCTTCATGCGCTAACTTTCTTCAGCATACTCTTCATGCGATCACTACACAGCTCTCTTATTCTCAAAGCAAGGTGCTAGACCGGGTGTGAACCTCTTTGGTCAAGGCACGATTAGTATTTACCAGAGGCTCGCGCCTGTATGAGAAAGTGGTTACGCTCTAAAATACTCTTTTCGTTGAGTCCAGGTTTTGCACGGATATGACTCCTTTCATGTGGAGACAACAACTTACTCGAAACTCGCGACCCTCCGACAAAATTATATTCTTCTCAAAAAAAAAAAAAAAAACACTCACGTATTCTTTTAGACATGTCAAGTGTGATATATGTAGTACACTATGCCTAAGGTTAAATAGTCAATCGACACATTTTTTCCTGTATTGCAGACCCAGGCAGCTTAATCATCGCTGCATCCACGCTCAATCTTTCAGTTACGTGTAACTGAGAAACCTGAAGGTCTAAAGGTCCCAGGTTCGTTCCCGGGTTTCGGTACCAATGTAAAATCCGAAGATTTTGTTCGTAGATTAACTGGGTTTTCGGGACAAATACGCCTGGAGAAATCGAGCAAGTGAGTCCCGACCACGGTATGAGATGCAAACAATCGTTTGTATATTACACCGTGGTCTCGACGCTGGCATTTATTCCAGCAAAAAAAAAAAAAAAACCAAGATTATCCTGCCACGCGCCATCCCACGTTCTTCTTTTCCTCTACCGCGCGTATTGTTCACTGTTTTCAATCAAACCGACGCCAATGGTACGATCAGTGAATGACGATAACGTCAGCGGCTGCGCACGTGTGTTGTGGCCGAGTCTTTGCATCATATATAAACCTTCATGGACTTCCACTCTGTAGCGGCGCTCGTGAACGAGCGAACGAAGGGAGACCTGAGTGTGCAGGTGGCTGCACGCTTAACAGCGGGGCCTAATCGTTACGTGACGTACACGCTTTGATTTAAACATCAATGCGTGGCACCGGTGACACTGATTTTTAACCTGTCAACAAGATGAGGCTTATTTCTACTTTACTGAAATATTAACTTGGGCGTGAATGACGACTCTGATGAATGAATGAATGAATCAATCAATCCATTAGTCAATTAGCTGAGTGAGTGAGTGAGTGAATCAGTGAGTGAGCGATAAAATGAAGTGAATGAATGCATGGAATCAGTGAAAGAGCGAGGGAACGATTGAAATGGCGCAAGAGGGGCATTTAGAAGTGACAAGAGTACGCGGCACGCACGTCTACGCACCTTGGGGTCGGCGCTCCTTTTGATAGCGTTGATGAGATCTGTGCGCAGGGCCTCCATCTGGTGCAGTCCTATTCTGGGCACCACGTCTTTGCCCAACACCACCGACGTGATGAACGCCTTGCTGTACTCCACGGCGGGTAGGCTGAGAGAGGGTGTGAGGAGGAGGGGTGCGATAAACAGGCGAGCACCTGGCGACGCCGCGAGACACAAACAGAGACCGTCAGGGCGGGCCGTATGGCACCCACACGGAACGTCATCGCTCCACTCTGGGAAGCTACAAGATGGAGGGCAAGCTCCGCGGATAGATTCCGCGTTGTGTTCTTCTTTAACGCTTCGTTTGTCGAGGGTACTGCCAGGGAATGAAACATGCACTGCCAAACTGCGAGCACGATTCGTAGACGGAGACTTTCCGGTTTCTAAATGCGGCTTTGCTGGCTACGCTTGCATTCGGCGCTACTCAGTGAATTTGGCAGGGAGAGGTGCCGTCGATGCATAGAGGGGGGGTCCTGACTCTGGTTGTATCAATCCGGACTACAGCGTGAGGCAGAAAAGTTGCTTACACTCAAACAGTGCTGAACCGGCGTCACCGATTTGCAATACCGCAGCGGTGATATATGAAGATTTCTCAAGTGGAAACACTTCTTTCGTTGAAAACGCCGCTTTGAAGAGCCGGGATTGATGAAAGTTTGGTTATATGTTCTGTTCGGCACGCTATACAAAATGTCGACTGTAAGCACTTCTTGTTTCGTTCGATATGCCAGGCTGAAGTCAGTTGCAATCTAAGAATAACTATGAGCTCCATATTTATCAATCCTCGTAAATACGAATATTGATATAGGTTAGGTTATATCAATCTGGTCCACAGTACTGGGCGAAAAAGCCACTTACATCCAAAAAGTACTGAACCGGCGTTCCTTAATTGTGATACCGGAGCGGTATTATATGCGGATCCCTTAGAGAGGAAGATTATTCATAGAAGACAGTTTTGCATTTCAGTTGACGACAACCGATTACCAGTGCCGTTGCGGAGCTGTTACGCAGCCATCCGGGTGAGCACACCAGAAATGCGTAGGTCGTGGCTTCAAATCTCGGAAAAGGACGAAATTTCTTCGAATATTTTTTTTTTTTTTTGCAGGAGATTCGCACAGGCGCGCGCACGGGCGATCGGGGAGGCAGGGGAGGCTTGAGGCGATTTTCCGTACAACAGACTGCGTAAATATGGCTCTGTGCTTTGTGGTAACCTTATTAACTACTCATAGCTGCGTGCGCCACAGGCAATCTGTCAAACCATGCAAGTATTCGAAATGCCCAATTACTGTGAGTGCAGGACTGACAAATATATAAAAAAAGAGCCATTCTGCTGAATAACAATCAAACACAAAGAACACCAATGATTAAAATCTAAGAAACGATAGAAAAAAAAGCTACAAGGATGCAGTGTGTACATAATCGCCGGCTCAATATCAAGAGTGACCCTTTGTCGGCGACAAACGCACGTAAGCATTCGCATTGAACGCAAAGCATTCATGTTACTTCATGGTGTCACTGACACTACGTCACGTCGATGCATTCTTATTGAGAAATCTGAGGTCTAATTCCTTCGATTATTCAGTTATGGTTAATCCTATGAACCAACTAGTGTCGCGAAAACTTGCCTGATCACGAAATATAGAAGCACTGACCACACGATGTGTACACCCTCGTTTAAAGTTTTCCACAGCGTCGGCTTTATGATTCGTGTCAAATTAAAATTTATAATAGGTATTATTCTGTGCTTGTAGTGACAAAAAAACATTTGATAAATGAAGGACCATTTTCAGCTCGTTCTTTGCTGTGCATATCAGTAAAGTATTCCACATTCAAGGTCACTTATTCAATGTTCAAATCGATTTGCATCAAGCTTTACTTCGTTTTCAGATAGGAGGAGAAGGGATGAAAAAAAAAAGGTGTCTTTTTTAGACTAAAAGAAACTTAAATTGGTGTTACGTTTCCTTCTATTGAAATAGAAGCGCATACATTTCAGACTTCTAAAGCGCCACTCAGGCTGATCATTACATCATCAAATAGCAGCCTTCCAGGCAGCCGGAGCACACACACTCACCTGAGGAGTCCACCTGGTGGCGCGTACGCGTAGCACAGCAGGTTGGGAAAGTCCTGCTTAAGCAAAATGGCCAATATGGCCGCCGCCCCGGCCCCGAGAGAGTGGCCCACGAGAACCAGGTCGTACTGGGTTGTGCCTTTGTCCTGCATTTCATGCAGCAGTAATGCGCACATCAACTACCACAGACTCCTTGAGAAACTATAATTTGAAAGAATAGCGCGAGTCCCAAATCCTTGACTAAAAGTGTTCGTCAGAGACATTCGTGCTACAGCGTTCGTGTGCTTTGATGTATTCTCGTAGTAAACATTGTTTCGTGGCGCTTCCGAAGCGAATCGCTGAGGCCACATAGGAAGAAGCATGCCGTTTAGTATGACTCCGCTAGGTGTCGGAACAATCGCTGCTGCTCACAAAGAAACAGTCTGCTTTTCAATAAATTTATTTGATTTATATTTCAATAATTTTGCTCATAGTTTATTGGTTCTTGATCGAAAATTCGGGTCCGATATCATGCGTATCCAGTGTAACCGTTGCCTTGAACCTGAAGCATCCATTCTGTAGCAGTCTTTTTTTCTTCACAAGACGTGAATATTAAGAAAACCGGAAGTGCATGCAAAACGGTACAGGTCAGTGTACTGTGCCGTGTCAGTGCATGTTAAGGAACACCAGACGGTCCTGATAGATTGATATGTGGGGTTTAACGTCCCAAAACCACCATATGATTATGAGAGATGCCATAGTGGATGGCTTCAGAAATTTCGACCACCTGGAATTCTTTAACGTCCACCCAAATCTGAGAAACGGGCCTACACATTTCCGCCTCCATCGGAAATGCAGCCGCCACAGCCAGGATTCGATCCCGCGAACTGCGGGTTAGCTGCCGAGTACCTTATCTACTAAACCACCGCCGCGGGAACACCAGATGATCCTAACTTCTGGAGCCATCCATTGCATTGTCTTTAAAATATATAGTGGTATTCACATGTAGAACTTCAGATACTATTACACCGTAGCGTTCCAAATCACCTGAGTAAAAGCGCTTTCAAGGTATTTGGACCATGGGAGCTACCAATCGCAGAGTTTTCTCGGGGCTACCGGACTGATTCACACTTGTGATATTGTAACAGCGAGCGTGATAAGATGGTTTATTTTACAGGAGGTGTCCGTTGTTTCAAGTGTGGTATATTGTACTGTGTAGTAGGTTGTTTGTTTGGCGACGTATTGTATGTAACTATTGTGGAGTGTGCATTCTTATGTATATTTGTCGATCTGCCAATTGGAGAATATAATATTTGTTTGTTATCAAATCTCGGCTCTGACTTGTTCTTGGGCCACAGCCGGCGTCCGCTGGCGCGCCAAAAAGACCACTTCTAAATGTCCACCGCTTTCGTGGTGCGGTTCGGGGGGCCAATACTTCGCCCTGGAATTAGACCGGCGATCACCGCCCTAATTAACGGGACCCGTGTGTGACAAGGGAATTGCTGCGGTTTCGGCATAACGCGTAAGATGATCTACGCAGACGATTATCCAACGCTTCTTATGTTCGATAACGGAAATGGACCCATAATGTCAATTCCTACTTGTTCAAAAGGTGTGCTGGGTGGTGTAACGGCTGAAAGGGGACCTGGTGTAGCGGTGGCCGGGCGCTTGTGACGTTGGCACGTCTCGCAGCTAGCGACGTAACGCTTCGTCGTTTCGTACATCTTGGGCCAGTAAAGGCGTTCCTGCTTGCGGTCAGCGTTCTAATGAAGCCGAAGTGACCGGACGTCGCATCGTCAATGCATGGCACGTAGAACATCGTAGCGAGGCTCTTGGGGACAACTAGAAGAAAACGTGCTCCAGGTCTGGAGTAGTTAGTTTTATAGAGCAACTTGTCTCGGACAGTAAAGCGACCGCTGTGTTGGGAGGCACGTGCGGCGGCAAAAAAGAGGATCCAAGTTGAGATCGTTGCGTTGTTCTCTCTGGAAATCAGCCGCGTTGGGGAACGTGCTTGTAACAGCAGCAAGGCAGTCGTCAAAAGTCTCAGCATCGCAGTCAGTAGTCGCAAGAGGAATCCGGGAGAGGCAGTCTGCGTCAGCGTGACGACGGCCCTCTTGTACGACGCCATAAAGTCGTATTGCTGATATAACTATCAGTTAAAGCGCACGAAAAAACAGACAGGGAGAGAGGACAAGCGCTTTCTCGCAACTAAACTGTTTATTAGAAAGGGCAGATATATATACAGGCATTTGAAAAAAACACGACGCATGCGTGTGCAGGCAAAAAAAGTACATCCGTGGCACACCGATGTTGGGACTCCGGGAGTTGTTGGGACTCCGGGTCCTGCCGGTCTCGTTTTCGGTAGCTGGCCCCGTCGCAGGATCCATCGCCCAACAATTCAGCGAGAAAGAAGCGCCCGAACGAACAACAGAGATTTATTACATGTGGAGAAGTGGTCAACTGACCCAAAGAGAGAAGAGTGAGTGTGATACAAAACGTCTTCGGCATTTTATAGCGCCACGTTGTTGACACTGGGCGCCTTGTCCGCATCGTCAGCCAATACGGTGTCCCCGGCACCTCGGCCACGAGGGAGGGGGAAACACCTCTCACAACACATGGAGTGGCACAAACCTAACACGGAATCCATATATGGTCACGGCGCCCTAAAATGTTACCAAACATGGTCACGAACGCACAGCAGAGTCCGGAGTTCTCCCGGTGAGAGGAGGAGCCTGAATGGGGAGGTGGGGGTGGACGACCCCGTCGGTCAAGAACCGGTTCTCCCCAAACTCTCCTTGCTTGGTTCCCTAGGGCTGGTCGTAACAGTCTCTCGCGCGAGGGGTGAAGATCTCGATGGGCTGAGGTTTGCAGCCACTGTCCGGAGAGATCAGCGCCGGCAGTCGGTTTGGTGACGACCATCTTTGATGAAGCAGAGGGCAACACCTGCTTCATTGTGGGCTCAACAGACATCACATACGCACATGAAAACACAACTACTCAGCCGGTGAGCGCCGGACAATTCCGCCAACTCCACCAGGCAATTTTCCCCTTTAACTGATATTAAAGGAAATACACAATTTATTCAAAATGTTACTCACACTTTAAGGTGACACAAAACAACAACACTGGAAGCACACCGAACCCGAAACCCTGGATAGCCGTGTCTTCAACGTTTTCAAACAAGTACACCTAAAAGAGTAAAAAAAAAAACAATCACTAGCTCTTGTCTAGGTCAGGAAAAAAAAAATGCCAGAGTTCTCGAGACATCCTCTCGCGTCAGGGGCATCGACTTAAACCATCAGCGTTGCCATGGAGTACACCCTTTTTGCAGCGTATTTCAAACGTATATTGTTGCAAAACGAGGCTCCAACGCAGCAGGCGGCCGTTCTTAGAGGACATGGTCTGTAGCCAGGTGAGAGGACAGTGGCCCACTTCCACAATGAACTTGCTTCCGGCAATATAACAAGCCAGTTTCTGCACTGCCCAAACCAAGCACGCACATACCTTTTCGCTAGCGCTGTAAACCTGCTCGCGAAGGGTGAGTTTTCGGCTAACATATAGGACGGGATGCTCTTGATCCCCCTCATCCCTTTGACTAAGAACTGCCCCCCTGCCTCTATCACTAGCGTCGCATTGGACTATGAAAGGCCTCGAGTAGTCCGGTGAACTAAGCAAAGGTTGGCTCAACAAGGCCGCTTTCAAAACGCGGAAAGCCTTTTCTTTCTCCTCATCCCAGTCGACCATTTGGGGCTCGGTCTTGCGCAACGCGTCAGTAAGAGTGCTGGCAATGTCGGAATATCTAGGGATGTACTACGATAGTAACCAGCTATTCCAAGAAAAGCCCGAATATCGGTTTTTCGTTCGGGGCTGGGGAAAGTCTCGGATAGCTGCCACTTTCATTTCAGAGGGACGGCGATGCCCTCGACCGATAACATGCCCGAGATAGAGTACCTCTGCTTGTGCTAGCTGACACTTGGGCGCCTTTACCGTTAAACCTGCTTCGCGTAGGCGTGTCAGTACTGCTCTCAAATGCGTCAAGTGTTCTGGCCAGGACGAGGAAAACACGGCGACGTCGTCCAAGTAAGGCAATGCGAAGTCCTCTGACCACGCAAAACCTTATCCATTAAGTTTGAAAAACAGTAAGGCGCGTTCTTTAGGCCGAAACTCAACACTTTAGGGCGGAATGTCCCCAATGGTGAAATAAATGCAGCTACCGGCTCGCCCTCTCGGTGAGCGGCACCTGCCAGTAACCTCTCACTAGGTCTAGCGTTGAGATAAATTGCGCGCTGCTTACCCTCTCGACGCGTTCCTCAATGTGGGGAATTGGGTATGTCTGATCCTTGGTGATGAGGTTTAACTTACGATAGTCTACGCAAGGACGCGGATCTTTGCCGGGTACCTCCACAAGAATTAACGGGGAAGTGTAATCACTTTCACACGGCTCAATCACACCCAATTCCAGCATCCTGCTAACCTCTGCTTTCATTAGCTCAAGCCGGCGAGGTGACACCCGATACGTCTTAGATCTCACCGGTTCCGACGAGGTAAGCTCTATGTCATGAGTGAGGACGGATGTCCGGCCTGGCTCGCTTACAAATCTGTCCTGAAGCTCGGTCAAAAGACCACGCAATTCCTGCTTCTGCTTCGTTGTTAGTTGTGACTTTGATACTAAATCCTCAACTCTTTTCTCGATCGGGACTTCGTCCGATTCGGGAGCTAATTCAGGGATTTCTGCCGGAACCTCTTCCGGAACATTTAAAGTCATGTTCACGATGGCTTCCCTCTCTTTGTAGGGTTTGAGTAAGTTGCTATGATACACCTGGTGTGCCTTACGACTTCCTTGTAATTTTACCACCTAGTTGGTGTCAGACAATTTTCGAGTAATTTCGGCCAGGCCGACCCATTGCACTTTCAAGCTTATTCTTTGGGAGGGCTTCAACAACATGACCCTGTCTCCTACAGCAAAGTGTCGTGCTTTAGCTGTCCGATCGTAGTAAAGCTTAGCCTTCTGCTGTGCTTTGGTCATCGCACTCTCGGTCAGTTCTTGGGCTTTTGTTAGACGATCAATAAGGTGAGGCCATATTCCACTACTACAGGAATCATCACCCTGACCTTCCACGACTCTCTCAGCATACGAAGAGGAGACCGCAGTCTGCGGCCGTAAACA